ACATTTAAGTTTAAGAGGTTTAAATATTAGCAAGTAATCATGAGTTAACAGGGGTGGTATTTTAATGTATTAATTATAGACATGACTTATTATTTTATTATTGCATTATTAATGTCTTATTTGTTATTAATGATAATGGTAAATGGGGTAATTTAATTTAATGTATATACCTACCAAGTTAATTTATTAAACATTTTTTATTTATTGTGTTTAAATATAAAATTGAGAATATTTTTCATATTTGATGCATACAATATTCTGCCCTGTTAACCCTCAGCAGAAGATGTTGAAGACCATCCCCCAGTCTTTTCAAATCAGGGATACTGCCCCCATTATCAACCAACATGGTAGCTGCACTCCTTCGCATACTATGCCATGTGTAGCTATTGGGGGAAGCTTCAAATGTTCAGCAATTTTTCTCGGCAAACTATAAAATGTGTTGATCCCCACCGGTTGCGCAGTGCATTTACTATTCCGGTAACAAACGAAAAATCTGGAATGATTCGTGTTTTGTGACCTTAATTTGCGATACTTCCGATACAACTCAATTCCGTTCGCTTCCGAAGTTATGCTTCTTTTTCGTTTTTGTATTACGTAGTGTTACGATAATAACTGATTCATTCTCTTCTATATCGTTAATTGTTAGTGTTCGTAAATCTTCTCCTCGCATTGCTTCATTTAAAGCAAAAATTAATGCCACTTTCATAAATAGATACGATTCATTCGAAGCGTCATGACGCATCATGACGCAATTAATTGAATTTTTGAAAAAACAGAATGAAGGATATGAACCTAAAAAGTTAAAAGTGATGTCAATTGAACAAATTATGAAGTTTCTAAATGACGCGTCATTTAGAAACTTTTGGCTTTTTAAGTTCATATCCTTCATTCTGTTTTTTCAAAAATTCAATTAATTGCTTGTATTATGAAATGTCACTGCCTTCATATATTTGCAACGTGTGTTCAGAAAATAACGGAAATTGTTAAATTTCGCAGGTTCGGTTGTCATAAAATTTTCTTTATTATGTTGGTTTACATGCCCCCGAAGTATGATAAAAACTTTAAATGTTTTCATTGTTTACTTTGTCTGTGGCAGCCGCTGAGGTTAGACGTGTTTTATGAGCTCCGCGATTTTCCGTTCGTTAAAAGAAATGGATCAAAAAATTTTTATCCAATTTTGCTTAAAAAATTAAATAAATTCTGTGAAATGTTAACAAAGGCCTATATTGAGTCTGCTATAAGTAAAACAAGAGTTTACAGGTGGTATAAGAGTTTCCAAGATGGCCGTGAAGACGTTGAAGATGACGAACGCCCCGAACGCACAAGCGCATTAACAACCGATAAAAACATGGAAAAAGTGGAAGAAATGGGTATAAACCATCAGAGAAGTCGCTGATGATGTTGGTATATCGATTGGCTCATCCCATGACATTTTTTCGAATGTTTTGGTTGTGAAACGCGTGGCAGCAAAATTTGTTCTAAAATTGTTAAATTTTGAACAACAGTTTTGGCCAAAAACAATACTGTAATGATGCCCCAGCCTCCATATTCGCCAGAAATGCCTCTGTCTGACTTTTTCCTATTCTCAAAAAGAGAACCTTAAAGGGCCGTCGTTTTGCAAGCATAGATGACATTAAAAGCGCATCGCTGAAAGAACTAAAGGCTATTCCAAAGATCGAGTTTTAGAAGTGTTTCGAGTATTGGAAGAAGAGCTGGCACATGTACATAATATCCAATGGGGACTATTTTGAAGGCGACAACATTAATGTAGACGAATAAATGAATATTTGTTTCAAAAAAACGAAAATTCCCTATATTTTCTGAACACACCTCGTAGTCTTCAGCATCGAATATGTTGACCACAGTGACGATGCCTTCAGATTTTTGGACTAAAACTACAAGAAAAAATTATTATTATTTATTTTTTAAAAGCATTAGCTTCTTATCTTTCCCAAAAAAACGCTGGCATAACATTTTCACTGACACCTCATACCCCTTGATTGTTTATCCATTGACAGAATTGTTCAAAAGTTTTATCATATTTTTCTTTTGACTTAGATGGAAGCAGATTTTGAGTCGCTTCTCTCGCTTGTCGCTTGCTCAACTCGTAAGAAAAGTTTGTTTTCCACCTCGTGAAAATTGGTTTCACTCACTGGAAATTCTCACTTTTCTTTACTTGTAGAAGAATCTACTATTATTTATTATAGTATTAACTTTATTAAATAGTTTAAAACTATGTAATAAATTTATTTCTTACACAAGCCACCGACAATTATTTGAACAATTCAAAAGGAAAAACCATTTTACCTATAATTTCACAACTAGAATTTTTTCAACCACATATCGTTCATTTAAATTTTACTATTAATATTTTGTTTTGCAATGGAAGACACGCAACAATATAAATAATATGTATTGTTAACAACATTTTTATAACGATCTTTATTGTAAACATGTGTAGTACTGTAAAATATAATAAATTGTTTTGTTTTGATCATACAGAATTGACAAATTTACACTTGAATACTGGACACACTTAGGTAGATATACATAGAAAGTTTTATTGGGAAATAATACAAATTAATTAACAAAAATTATTGTTGGATAAATCGTTATAAAAAAAACATTCTTGTTATGTAATTTTTTCTTATTATCATTTTTTATTTGCATAAAATTAGAGAATAAAAATATGATGATATTTATATAAGTAATTTTTTATTCATAAATATTAATCACATAAAATTTACAACGCTTTACATAATTTACGCAACATTGCCAAAAATTTGATGGTGCACCTTTCTTTTTATAATCATAAATAAAGCTTAATTTTCATGTATCCGTTTGTCCGTTATACGTTTGTACGTTTTTCAATAAAATCGTCCGATAAGAAATGTTCTAATTTTCATGCATCCGTTTTTATATGACGTTTAACGAATTGATTTGGCGACAAATAAAAATTAAGGGTCAGTATATTCACTTTACTAAATTTACCTAATGCTTAATTGTCATAGTTACAATTATGTCAACAATTGTAACTTTAACAGTTAGCTGTCTAATAAATTTAAAGGTAGGTAAATATACCATATAAAAAGAATATACTAGCCTTAATTTACATTAAAATGTATAGTTTTAAAAAGCAGGTCCTTTTAGTTCTGGTTTTATTATTTTATTGTTTTTCTTTTCTTTTTTTCTGTTATTATTATTAAATAAAAACATAAAAGTAGAACATTATTTACATAACGAACGTTATATTTACGTTTTACAATCTTATTAAAAGAATATTAAAAGATTTGAAAATAAAGCATCTGAAAATAACGTTAGGCGTCAAAAACAGATGTGTAGTGACAGATTAGTTAATAGTTATTTATGTATTAAGGGCATAATAAGGTTTTTATGGTCCGAGGCGCTATTTCGAGCCCGAGCGCGTTAGCGCGAGGGCTAGAAAAGCGTCGTAGGACCATAAAAACCAGTTATGCCAGCAATGCATACAAAACTTTATGCACGATTAATATATTATTATTTTTAATATATTATTGTTTTTAAAGACGTTTACGTCAAAGAATTTTTGTTATAATTGTCATATTATAATGTCAACTGACATCAGTCAGTTTTAAAGTTTAAAGATAAATGAAATTGAGGAAGCAGCTGAAAAGGCGAAAAATTGCGGCCTGCTGCCGGTAAAATCAAAATCTTTATACGAAAAAACTTACTTCGAATATATCAAATGGTGTAACATTGTTGTTTTTAATTTTTGACGTTTCATTATAGCCCGCTGGGCCATAATAAAGCCCGCGGGCTATAAAAAGACGTTTACGTCAAAGAATTTTTGTTATAATTGTCATATTATAATGTCATCGTGCATAAAATTATTTTAAATTTCTCCGTCAGACGTACGAAGTTAAAACTTGACGGACGGAATAAATGTCATAATTTTTGAATTATAATTGGACCAATAAGAGCGCTCCCGGATGAACGGACTAACGGACACACGGATACATGAAAATTAAGCTTTAAACAGATAACTAACATAGTTTCTTTAAATGGCAACATTGCCTGATAATAAAGTGGTAGTTTAATTCTTGATGACAACAGCGACTCTTGAATCTTCTAAGCATTCTCCAAACAAATCACAATCCTCATCAAAGAAAACAAAGCCTCAAATCGAAATTTTACATGAGTGATTTTTTTCTCTAAATTGAACAGGGAATTTAAAAAAATGGTATTTTTTTTAATATCCAGTGGCGTAGAAAATGGGGCGGAAAGAGTGAAAAAACCCAATTGTGTCCAAGCCATCTAATGAGTATCTTTTTCATAAGTATGTGTATATGATTTTTTTCAAATTTGATATATCAAATTTGAAAAAAATCATACATGTCGACTTATTTTATGATGGACCATCCTATATAATAAGACTTAACACAATATAAACAAGGTCAACCTAAAATTTTTAAATAAAAAATAATTTCAAGTCGAGAAAGTTTTGACATTCTTTAACTATTCAAATATTGATTTTTGTGAAATTGCTTATTTTTTAGTAAATTACAAAATATAGTATTTGCAATCAATAATGACAAAATTAAATCAATTTACCGCATTTAAAAGTAATTAATACCCTGGATATATTTCATTTTAAGTGTTTTGCTGAGTTTCATAAATTTAAAATATTTTTAATACCGGAATTTACCTACAAAGTATTGCAAATTGTTCATAAATATGGATGTTATAAAATTTATGTGGTAAATACAGGTGTATTATTAAAATTGGGCCCATTAAGTCAATGGCTGAATTAAATTATATAACACCGCACTTTTGCAACTGTATTTAAATTAGTGTCATGTCAAATTAGATATATTAAAGTGTCTCTTAAAAATTGTAAATATTTCGTAATGCCAATTACTGTCCAAACTTAAACAACTTAAGGTAAATAAAAGAAATTTAAGAAGTGTTAAGAAATGGCTTTCACTTTCATGAGAATTTATTTGTCACTACAAAATACAAATTTAGTGGGCATCCACATCTGAGAGGGTAAAATTCGACCGATAATCCAACCAATCGCCTTTGATTATTTCACCCAAGCGATATCCGAACATGGCATCCGAAGCTACCGTGTTCTCGTGCGTAATGGTGCGCATTACGCTCGCGTCGCCAACCCTTACATTATCCACCTTGTGAATTCTCAACTTGGTATCGACAACGGAGTATAAGTCGGTGTTGTAGCCCATTTTCGTGGTACCCGCCACGCTTTTCTTGGGGTAAACCATGTTGTAGATGTAACATCTAACGTAGTAGATGGAGCAGAACTTGTAGTTTCTACAGTTTGGCAAGTCGATATTCAAGAATGTGGTTTGAAGGGATGCTAGCCGTTCTGTCTCGGTTAGGTTTGTAGCAAAATTGAAAGCGTAGAATAGGGATTTAAAATCTTCATTGGAAGAGTCTGTAAAGATGTTTCCTTCGATTCTAGGAGCCCCCTCGTGCCAGGTTTTATTGAGGAATATCTGCCCTGAACTAATAGGTCTCAATAGGCCCAAATCAAACACCAAAATGGCTTTGTTTTCATTCACTTTCAATATACTTTTTATTATGGCACCTTGCAAGTTCCAAGACATCAATTTTTCCTTTAACTTAATATCGCCAACTCTGAAAAACCAGTGGTACACAGAAACATCCCTGGATGTCATCGATACGTCCCCTCTACTATTTATATAAGCTGATAAGTCGGATAGGTATACCGAAGATAAGTCACCATTCCTATGCATGATGTAGTTGTATATGGATGTTAAGTAATCATCTTCTTTGTACGTATCATTTTCGCAGTAGGTCTCATTTGCCAGGCAGCATGTTTGCAATGAAAAAAACAACGGCAAGCCAAGATGCATCTTCAAATTCATCCCTACACCTTTCAAATCTGATACAGTGGTTATATTAAGTTCTGACAAGTAGGTGACATTGCCTACGCCGCTCAACATTAGCAACTTAGGGTTTTCTATCGCACCACCAGTTAGAATGATCTCCTTATTGATGTAGACTCTTTTAATGCTTGTTCCATGTATTCTAACATCCACACTCGTGGCTTTCCGGTTTGCCCCCATATTTATTTTTATTGCTTGCGAGTTCAGACTTAGATTTAAATTTGGTTTGTTTTGTATTGGATGCAAGAAAACTTCCGCCATATTCATTCTAAGAAGAAGACAAATGATTAATAAGTTATTAATAAGTAAGTTGGGTAGTAAACCTTTGTCCATTCTTAATAGTCAGATAGTTATCTGTGACCCCATTGTATTGATCTCTTGCTATCTCCTTTTCGTCATACAATTCGTACAAGATTTCTCTAATGTAATCATTGTAGGGGGTTTCTTCGAAATGTATACCTGTAGTGAAATTATTCTCCTCGTTGTTTTCAATTTCTTCAAAAACCTTATTAATCAAGTCAGACCGCCAAGAGGGGAACCCCCAAATGTCGTAGTTCTCCAGAGTGCCTCTAGCGTATATAAGATTGTTCGTGGTGCTCATTCCGCCCAGCACTTTTGCCATATTTAAAGAACAAACCTTCAAACTTGTGCCTAGGCACGCCTTTTTTTCCTTTTCGAATGTGTACTCTTGGACGTCGTCGTCCAAACTGTCGAAAAAAGCGGGAACCTAGAAGTAAATCAAGCTTTAGGTTTATCCACATGTTTATCCTCTATGTTCTATAGATACCTCAGTAGCTGGGCTTGGATATGAACCCGCTTCTATGAGCAGTACTTTCCACTCTTCTATTTCTACCAATCTTTTAGCCAAAGAGCAACCTGCCGCCCCCCCTCCAACAATTACAAAATCAAAGGTGGGATCTTTGGCCTAAAATGTAACATTTGATCATGGAAAAGACACTTTTTTCCTTTTACATACTTCCACTAAATAGTCGCTTGTATCGTCTGGATAATGATCGGTTCTTCCAATCAATTTAACATTATCGAACAGGGTACCTATAAGTAGCACAAAAGCAGTCCCCAAAGCTCCTCTCAACGAAGATACATCGTATTCGACGACCCCTTGCATTTTTTGATACGGGAATTTTGGTAACGTGACACTAAGCTGTCAAAACATCCCTGTTGAAGTTGAGTTAAATAAAAATGTTAAACTTAAAAAACCTTTATTTACCACAGCAAGTAGGCATCTTTAACAATACAAAAATATCACACTATAACTCGGTTTTCCGATTTAAATCCTCCAGAATAATGTCACCAGCTTTAAACCCGATCATTATCGATGGTGCCATGGTATTGCCACTGGTTATTTTGGGCATTATGCTGGCATCGGCAACTCTGAGATTTTGTATGCCGTGGACCTTCAGCCTGGGATCCACCACCGAGGTTGGATCGCTTTTGGGGCCCATTTTGCACGTGCCCACGGGATGGTAGAGGGTCGTGCCCAAGTTTCTTAGGGCGCATTTGTAGTGCTCGTCCGATTGGAATTTGTGGGCTTTGCAGTTGGGTATTTTTAGGTCGACGAGTTGGGGGTTGTGTTTCTTGAACGAGTCGGTTTGCAGGATTTTTTCCGAGAAACGTATGCCTTCCAGTAACAGATTGATGTCTTCATCGTGTTCATCTGTGAAATAATTGGGGTTTATCAAGGGTTTGTCCAGCGGGTTTTTGCTGTTCAACAGTATCGTTCCTGTGGACTTGGGGTTTAGAAGTATCGGATAAAAATTGGCGGTTGGTGCTAACTTATTGGCTTCTATTTTGCTTTTGGCGACTTCATCGTCAAATTTTGCGCACCCTGTGATCTCGCCTAGCAAATAGTTATCATTTTGTGGTTTCAACTCGTGGTGGAACTGTATATTCGGATATTCCGAGTCGTTTTTGGTGTTTATAAAACCCATAAAATTTGTTATGGATATTCCTGCCAAATCGCCCTTTTGATACATAAAATATTTATGCAGCTCGTCTATAATGTGATAGGGGTTTACAGCGTTGTTGTCAAGTTTAATCATAAAACCAGGGTAAATACAATGGTCCTGTAAATTTTCACCTACGTTTAAATCTTCTATAACTTCAATACCCAAATCTTTCAAGTGTTGCTTTGGACCAACACCTGACAACATAAGCAACTGTGAAGAACCTATTGTTCCAGCGGACAAAATTACTTCCTTCTTCGCTTTGATGGTCAAAATATCATCCCCTATTTTAACCTCAACTCCTTTAGCAACTTTACCTTCAATTATAACTTTTGTAACTTGGCTATTCATCGACACAAACAAGTTTTTTCTATCCTTGACTTTCCCCAAAAATGATTTTCCAGCGTTTTGCCTCACACCGTTTTTAACAATCCATAAGGAATCAAAGTAACCCAAGTTTGCTTCGGCCTTCGTGATTTTATAACCCAACTCTTGTACTGCTCCTTTTATGCTTTCTTTAATCGGTTCATCGGATTCGTATCTACTTATGTCAAGGTATCCTCCTCTACCGTAATCAGTGCTACCTTTCAGTAAACCTACAAATTGAAGCGTTGTTATTGAAATTCAAAAGTTCTTGATGGTTCATACCTTCGTCAACATTTTCAAAAGACTTGAATGTCTTCATTACGCTCTCGTAGTCCCATCCAGGGTTGCCTAGTTTAGCCCAGTTGTCGTAATCTCTCTTGTTTCCTCGAACATACAACATGGCGTTGATGGATGTGCTTCCACCTAGAAGTTTTCCTCTGGGGTACACACAGGTTTTATCTTTAAATCCCAAGCAGTTGTGGGGCGATGGGGCTGTCTTGTACTGCCAGTCTTCGGGGGTGTCTTGGAGACTGAACAGTAGACTGGGGATCTAAAATTTGAAGGATGTATAGTTTTAGTCGACATAATTTACATCGCAAATACTCACTTCGCTGGTAGTGGACGGTATACCTCCAGCTTCGAGAACCAAAACGTCGTATCTGCCGTTTTCGCTCAGTTTATTGGCCAGGGCCGATCCTGCCGCTCCAGAACCGACGACTATAAAATCGAACCGGTCGCCATCTTTGATTTTTTTGCTGTGATCTTCCGGGTACTGATGGGCCATGTTGAATTGGCATTGTGCCGCAAACAGTGTGTTGATTAGGGTTAGGAATAAGTGGGTGGGGGTGGCCCCTTGGATCGACCCTGGACAAGGGTTTTGGATTGAGGAAAGTGGATCCATGATTTATCTGAAAGAACTTTTTAAATATTAATGATACAATAAAATGTTTGTTTAAAAAATTGGATTTTCACAATAAATTTTTAAATTAAATGTACAGTAGACTAAGCCAAAAAAATTGACTATTTTTTTGAAGTGAAAAAAATTCCTTTTCACTTATTTTGATATAAAATTAAATTCTCTACAAAAAAGGTCTGATTGAAAATTTTTGTCAGACGAGCCGTTTCCGAGTAATTGAACTTAATAAATCGATGTATTTTTTCGATTTGCCCTTTTAACTTTGAAATGTTGTAACTAATGAACCAATGAATATTTAAGAAAGCTCACGTCGGATTCTTAAAGGAAATTTCATGTTCTACAAAAAAGGTCTCTTAACATTTTTGCCTAAATTTAATTCTTCAAAAGTTATTCACGATTAAAATCGAAGAAAAACTTAAAATTTCAAGAAAGTTATTGTTTTTTAGAATACTTATACTATTTAAATATGAATATGTCAAATGATTTAGAAAAATATACTGAATTTAAACTTACCTTTGAGTATTAATATTAATCTTGAAGTGAGGTAACGTATCAGTTGAATTTTATAATAAATGCCTTTTATCATCATATGGACTTTAACCAATTTTAATCTGATTAATACTAAACCCATTATGCGCATTTAATTTAGTTGTTCGCTGCTTTTTTATTTTAACAACACTTTCTCGTAAACATTTGAGATAGTAATTAAATGTGAGGTTTTCAACAACAGAATATTTAACCCCCTTTGATTTTTTATACATTTATTATTAATAATTTTATATGTATACATTTTTTGAATTAAACCGATTACTATTTGGAAACCATCGGCTTTAAATTTTAAGCGATATAAAGTCAGTAGTTTTAATTAAAATGATCGGTTTTAATATTTTTTACGTTGAGTAATAATGATAGAATTTAAACTGTTATTAATATTTTTGCTAAGTAGGTAACCTTATAATCTTGGTAGAACCGCTGGAAATACTGTCACAAAAACCGATAGAAAAACTACAAAAACTGCTATAAATACTGCAAAACTGTCGCAAGAACTGATAAAAAACTGCTAAACTATTAGAAAAACGGATAGAAAAACTGCAAAAACTGCTAGAAAAACTGCAAAACTGTCACAAAAACTGCTAGAAAAACTGCAAAACTGCTATAAATACTGTAAAACTGTCGCAAAAACCGATAGAAAAACTGCAAAAACTGTTATAAAAACTGCAAAACTGTGACTCCAGTCAGAGTCGAAGACGATAATCAGTACCCAGTCACTGGACGGTCGAAGCAATTTTAGAACTACGTCGTCGGCCTAAAATGTAACATTTGATCATAGAAAAGATACTTTTCCCTTTACCCACTTCCACTAAATAGTCGCTTGTATCGTCTGGATAATGATCGGTTCTTCCAATCAATTTAACATTATCGAACAGGGTACCTATAAGTAGCACAAAAGCAGTCCCCAAAGCTCCTCTCAACGAAGATACATCGTATTTGACGACCCCTTGCATTTTTTTGATACGGGAATTTTGGTAACGTGACACTAAGCTGTCAAAACATCCCTAAAGTTGGGTTAAATAAAAATACCATGTTAAACTTAAAAAACCTTTATTTACCACAGCAAGTAGGCATCTTTAACAATACAAAAATATCACACTATAACTCAGTTTTCCGATTTAAATCCTCCAGAATAATGTCACCAGCTTTAAACCCGATCATTATCGATGGTGCCATGGTATTGCCACTGGTTATTTTGGGCATTATACTGGCATCGGCCACTCTGAGATTTTGTATGCCGTGGACCTTCAGCCTGGGATCGACCACCGAGGTTGGGTCGCTTTTGGGGCCCATTTTGCACGTGCCCACGGGATGGTAGAGGGTCGTGCCCAAGTTTCTTAGGGCGCATTTGTAGTGCTCGTCCGATTGGAATTTGTGGGCTTTGCAGTTGGGTATTTTTAGATCAATAAGTTGGGGGTTAAGTTTCTTGAACGAGTCGGTTTGCAGGATTTTTTCCGAGAAACGTATGCCTTCCAGTAACAGATTGATGTCTTCATCGTATTCATCTGTGAAGTAATTGGGGTTTATCAAGGGTTTGTCCAGCGGGTTTTTGCTGTTCAACAGTATTGTTCCTGTGGACTTGGGGTTTAGAAGTATCGGATAAAAATTGGCGGTTGGTGCGACTTTATTGGCTTCTATTTTGCTTTTGGCGACTTCATCATCAAATTTTGCGCACCTTATGATCTCCCTCAGCAAATAGTTATCATTTTGTGGTTCCAACACGTGGTGGAACTGTAGATTCGGATATTCCGAGTCGTTTTTGGTGTTAATAAAACCCATAAAATTCGTTATGGATATTCCTGCCAAATCGCCCTTTTGATACATAAAATATTTATGCAGCTCGTCTATAATGTGATAGGGGTGGTGTTGGTTTACAGCGTTGTTGTCAAGTTTGAACATAAAACCAGGGTAAATACAATGGTCCTGTAAATTTTCACCCACGTGTAAATCTTCTATAACCTCAATACCCAAATCTTTCAAGTGTTGCTGTGGACCAACTCCTGACAACATAAGCAACTGTGAAGAACCTATTGTTCCAGCGGACAAAATTACTTCCTTCTTCGCTTTGATGGTCAAAATATTGTCCCCTATTTTAACCTCAACTCCTTCAGCAACTTTACCTTCAATTATAACTTTTGTTACTTGGCTATTCATCGACACAAACAAGTTTTTTCTATCCTTGACTTTCCCCAAAAATGATTTCCCAGCGTTTTGCCTCACACCATTTTTAACAATCGATAAGGAATCAAAGTAACCCAAGTTTGCTTCGGCGTTCGTGATTTTATAACCCAATTCTTGGACTGCTCCTTTAATGCTTTCTTTAATCGGTTCATCGGATTCGTATCTACTTATGTCAAGGTATCCTTCTCTACCGTAATCAGTGCTACCTTTCAGTAAACCTACAAATTGAAGCGTTGTTATTGAAATTCAAAAGGTCTTGATGGTGCATACCTTCGTCAACATTTTCAAAAGACTTGAATGTCTTCATCACGCTCTCGTAGTCCCATCCAGGGTTGCCTAGTTTAGCCCAGTTGTCGTAATCTCTCCTGTTTCCTCGAACATACAACATGGCGTTGATGGATGTGCTTCCACCTAAGAGCTTTCCTCTGGGGTACACACAGGTTTTATCTTTAAATCCCAAACAGTTGTGTGGAGATGGGGCTGTCTTGTACTGCCAGTCTTCGGGAGTGTCTTGGAGACTGAACAGTAGACTGGGGATCTAAAATTTAAAGGATGTATAGTTTCAGTCGACATAATTTACATCGCAAATACTCACTTCGCTGGTAGTGGACGGTATACCTCCAGCTTCGAGCACCAAAACGTCGTATCTGCCGTTTTCGCTCAGTTTATTGGCCAGGGCCGATCCTGCCGCTCCAGAACCTACTACTATGAAATCGAACCGGTCGCCATCTTTGATTCTTTTGCTGTGATCTTCCGGGTACCGATCGGCCATGTTGAATCGGCATTGTGCCGCGAATAGTGTGTTAATAAGGGTTAGGAATAAGTGGGTGGGGGTGGCCCCTTGGATCGACCCTGGACAAGGGTTTTGGATTGAGGAAAGTGGATCCATGATTTATCTGAAAGAACTTTTTAAATATTAATGATACAATAAAATGTTTGTTTAAAAAATTGGATTTTCACAATAAATTTTTAAATTAAATGTACAGGGTGCTAAGAAATTTAGAAAAGCTGAAAATGTTTTTATTTTCATTTATTAAATTAAATGTTAAAATTATTTTTTTATTTCGTATTTAGACATGAATTTTAATTATAAACGACTTTTATTATACATTTTTTCTGGGGATTCAATTGAAGCATTTAAATGTTTTCTTAATTTCTGAGTACCCTGTACATTTTATTCAAACATTTTTTATGAAAATCTTATTATATAAACAAGTACCTATTAGTTTTATAAAAAATATTTTTTTTCTTAAAATGCATAATAAAATAACACAATGTATCTGGTTTTATATAATTTGTAAAATAATACCTATATGTATAAACAAATCACCATAAACCACTGAGAATTTTCTACATTATATATTTTTTAAATTTAGTGTAGGGTAAAGTATTGGGTAAACCACAGTTATTGGACACTTAAGGAATATTATTTCTTTAAAATTTATATATGCATAGTTATTGGACATTTATTATATTGGTGGCATTCGTTTTTTATGTTCTCTACCATGCACTGTATTTAAATCACTGTTATTCTGCAAGATGTCCTGTGACGAAGAAATCACTATATTACTTACTCTCTAAAAATGAATTGGTCAAAAATGTCATAGCAAAAAAGCAGCCACTAATCAGTATTATTCTCGTTAACAGAAATTTGTATCCAGGACATTTAGCAGTCAATTCCCATGAAATATTATTCGCTGAATCCGAAAATGTCGTCAAAAGTTATAAAAGTAAAACAGTTTTTGAAATATAATCAATTTTACATATAAAATGTAATTGACTATATCTCAAAAACCGCTTTACTTTTATAGTTTTTGACGTGCTTTTCGGATTCAGGGGACAATTTTACATAAGAATTGGCTGGTATATGTCCGGGATACAAATAGAGTATGATATTGGACATATGTATGTCCAATAATAGAAATTTACATTTTTTACCAACCAGTAATTGAATACTTAGCCATTTTACTGTTTGTTTTTAGAATTAAAATTAAAACGCATTAAAGTGACAATGTTTAAACCACGAGGAACACATTTATACCACACACAGATCTGTACACTTTTTAGAAATATTTTTTATTATAATTTAAACACAGCCCTGCTCTTAACAAAAAAAACCAAAATCTTAACACCAAAGTAACATGCGAACTTTTTTGTCCTGTATTGGACCCAAAATAAAGTAGTTCTATATTATTACCGATATTTATGACTTTAAGGTAACTATTGTCCAATAACTATAAAGTGTCGATAACTGTCTACTTTACCCTATACAATATTTGTATAAATTTGGTTATTTATTTAATTCATGAAATAAATTTGCGTAATTATAATTTAATTGAACCTTATATTACTGATTTATTTAAATAATTAAATAATTTGGATACTTACTAAACATTTTGTTATTACTGATAACTTATCATATATGTATATTTAACATTTGTGGTTTTTTTATTTCATACTATTCTGTATACAGGGTGTATATTTATATACGGGCAAGAAATAAGTGCGGAAAAATTACTTTGCGCATGTGTTAGGAACAATATTTTTTTCTACTAGCTTACGCAAATGATTATCAAATTAATGTTTATTACAATGAAACAATTATTAATATTTTCTAAATTAACAGGTTTTATGTCCAATATTTTATGATATTTTTTTTTTCAAAAAAACGCTTGTGTGGGGTATTTGGTTTTCGCAAATTTAAATATTTTCGAAACAGTTGTAAATAATGAACATTATTGATTTCATCAGATATCACCCCAAAAATAGTGGCAACTTTTATTAAAAGGTCAATTTCATCTGGTGCTTCTTTAATGAATCTTGAAATGTCATCTATCTCAAAAATTTTTGGACTAACAAACAATACTATTTAAAATATTAAAATATATTTAAAAAGTGCAAAATTTAGGCCAAGTCTTATAGATCAATGCTCGTTTTTAAATAAACACCCTGTATACAATTTATACACATTCAAGTATAAAAATAATAAAATTGCTTACCCTTTTTAATTTCCAATCCAATAGATACCTCTTATGTTCGTATTTTATCACAACACAGTGATTTAAAAATTGTAAATAGTAAACTTAATATTTTACTTCATCTTGTAGACCATGCAGCACTCTGTTATGTACTGATTATCTTCTTCCACTCTGAGCGCTTGACTGACTGGACGGTCGAAGCAATTTTAGAACTATAACGGTGGATTGAGACTTGTTTTTTACTACCGACTACCGGCTACCTTCTTAAATACTACACCACACTGAACGTAGTTTAATAGAACTATGTATATTGTGTTATCTTTAACATATAAAACCTTATTCATTTGGGTTTTATTTAAAAAAAAATAGTTACTTTAAATTTGTATTATACAGATTGTACGTACGAGGTGTGTTCAGAAAATAACGGGAATTGTTAAATTTCGCGGGTTCGGAGGGTCCGGTTGTCATAAATTTTCTTTATAATGTTGGTATATGTGCCCCCAAACTTTAGCTGTTTTCATTGTTTACTTTGTCTTGTCTGTGGCAGCCGCTAAGGTTAGACGTGTTTTATGAGCTCGGCGATTTTTCGTTCGTTAAAAGAAATGGATCAAAGAATTTGTATCCAATTTTGCTCAAAAAATTAAATAAATTCTGTGAAATTTTAACAAAGGCCTATAGTGAGTCTGCTATAAGTAAAACAAGAGTTTACAAGGGGTATAAGAGTTTCCAAGATGGCCGTGAAGACGTTGAAGATGACGAACGCCCCGAACGCACAAGCGCATTAACAACCGATAAAAACATGGAAAAAGTGGAAGAAATGGTTATAAACCATCAGAGAAGTCGCTGATGATGTTGGTATATCGATTGGCTCATCCCATGAAATTTTTTCGAATGTTTTGGGTATGAAACGCGTGGCAGCAAAATTTGTTCTAAAATTGTTAAATTTTGAACAAAATTTTTGGCCAAAAACAATACTGTAATGATTCCCCAGCCTCAATATTCGCCAGACATGCCTCTGTCTGACTTTTTCCTATTCCCAAAAATAAAGATAACCTTAAAGGGCCGTCGTTTTGCAAGCATAGATGACATTAAAAGCGCATCGCTGAAAGAACTAAAGGCTATCTCAAAGATCGAGTTTTAGAAGTGTTTCGAGTATTGGAAGAAGAGCTGGCACATGTGCATAATATCCAATGGGGACTATTTTGAAGGCGACAACATTATTGTAGACGAATAAATAAATATTTGTTTCAAAAAACGAAAATTCCCGATATTTTCTGAACACACCTCGTACATTCATGTACCACCATGACAAAATGAATCACCAGCTTTATCTCCAAAAAAATCGTTGTGTTTACTGGAATATAAATTAATATAAAAGTTAATAATTTATTTGCGTGATGCAGTGATAAACAATGTTTATAATATGATAATATATAAGTATAGAACACTTAACTGATGATGGTATTGGTATGGTATGGAACACCCTATTTTTTTTATTGCAGATTCGGATCATTCGACTAAAAATAGGTAGATTTTGTCTAAAACATTTTTTCATATTTGTAATAGATGGCGCTGTAATGATTTGATTTTTCTTCTGTATACGATTCTCCAATAATTTTTTAATAAAATACTTGATTTTATTTTTTAAATTTATTTATTTATTTCGTTTTAATATTCTGCTAACACTGCTCTGGGATATTCCCCAATCTCTAGATAATTCTCGTGTGCTAGCATGAGGATTAGCGGCCGTTGCTGCTAATACGTTAATTTCATTATTTCCACCTGTGACTGTTGCTCGACGAACTCTTTTTTTCGGTTGGACACTCCCGTTTGTAGTAAACTGCTTGACTGTACGGTGAAATGAAGTACGAGATCGAATTTTATCCGGAAAACGCTGAGCGTAGATATTAACGGCATCATCAAGATTCCTGCCTGCTTCTCCATAAATCAAAATCATTTCTATTTTTTCTTTCACTGTTAAAAAATCCATTATATTATGAATAACTGCTTAACGAAAGGAGGTCTTTTTGTTTGCAAATTAATCTTCGAACTAAATTGATTAAATAATGCTAAACTATAAATAGTTTCTTTATACCTCAATAATAATTTTTATTTATAACTAAATACCATTTTTTATACCTTAATTAGGATTAAATTAATTAATTGACAAAATAATGTTTATAATCGTATATAAAATTTTTGCAAAACTCTTTTTCCTACATTAGCAGAAACGCCAATGGGAATGGGTTATACTTTTGCAGATCACTGTGTATTATAAAAAAAATAAATTGTAATAATGTATAATTCATTTTGCATTATTTAAGCTTTTTTCTTTTAACATAATACAGAACTTCTGTTATTATAATTTTGTAGATTAACGACAATACTTCTCTGATACAAGTAAACTAAGTAAAGGTAAAATACATATTTTGAGATAAGATCTTTATTTTATTTAAATTACACTGAGTGTTTGGATTTATTTTTGCCCTACCAATAATCCATATCTTTCTGGCGTTTAGGTGTTTTCTTCATTAAAGTTGTCGGCTTTTCTCTGAGTACTTCCTCTTTTGCCTTTACAGAACCTTCTATTAAATCTGCATTTGGTTTGCCTGTAACTACATTAATTTCAAATATTAAAACGTCGACTACTTAATGGGGTAGTTCAATTTTTTCTGACCTATACTTTTTATGGTTTTATTCAAGGCGTTTTGTAATATTAAACATTTCTGTGAAATCAGAATTTCAATTGAGTTTACCGTTTTCAAGATATTTACAAAAAATATAAATTTTTATGACGTCACAAACCTCGCCATGTGACCAACATTCTAAGATTTCTATTGGTTGAAAATTACCCTGTTGTCAAGTTGTCTTGTTAATGATTTCATTCGGTTATGTCAGAAAATACCCGAAGAGGTTATGTACAAATACTGTCACTGTCAGTTGAGTGAAAGATGGTCACCAAATTCATTAAGTACCTATCTTCCTTATTACGAGGTATCATATTACTGTTTGATATTTTAGAGTCCAAGATATATCTAAAAGAATATAAAGAACTAGGCATTATACTAATGAAATGCATTTACGACAAAATATGATTATAATTATAGGTACTTACTTTATTTGTTTAAAAGCTCCAATGTTCAATGTAACCAACCATTCCACAAGATTCCTCTGCTTTGGAGTCCATTATTAATAAATCACTTATCTAATATCAATTAACAATAACATTGATTTTCAATAATCTAAATTTAAAAAAAAAACATAACCCGAAAAAAAGAACCGTCAAAAATTCAATTCTTCTTCTTCTTCTCAACTAAAATTATAGATCAAGTGGTTTTAAAACTAAAATATTATAATGTGGCACCATCTATCGTAAGAATCTTAAACTTAACACACTGGCAACCATAGAAAAAGCTGGCAACGTTGTCAATAGCCTAGTGACGTAATTAGGAGATTTTTTTTTTGTAAATATCTCGAAAACGGTAAACTCAATTGAAATTCCGATTTCACAGAAATGTTTAAAATTACAAAACGCCTTGAATAAAACCATAAAAAGTATGGGTCAGAAAAAATTTAACTACCCCATTTTGAATTACCTTCTTCGTAACCATCGAGTTGGTCATGGTTTTCTTCGGATTTTTCTCCACTTGCGTTGTCTTCATGTTCTTCCGACGAATCGTAGTACTTGTGGAGAACACCCCAATCTTCCTTAATCATATCGGCCGCTTTCTCAGCCACCATGATTGTTGGGGCATTGGTATTACCAGTTGTTATGTAAGGCAGTACCGAGCAATCGACTACCCTTAGATTTTTGACACCGCGGACTTTTAACCTAAAGAAAAAATACCATCAATACAATGTTCGTATTTATTTTCTCACTGTTCAAAATTTCATGACCATTTTAACACCAACTTAACACCATACATGGTCTATATCGATACAAACCAAAATGGTGTTAAATATGGTTCGTTGGTCCAGTGTAAATTCAAATACTAAAATGGTGTAAATTTAACCTTCACACAGTGTTAAAATCAATTTTACCAGGTGTAAATTGAACTCCTTTTCAGTGTTAAATATAATGTGTTTTTGGTCAAATTAAATCATACTACACAGAAAAAAAGGAAAAAAAGGAAACAGGAAGTTCCTTGACGCATTACAAGTATATTACCAGTGGTATTATTCCAGAAAATTGAACCTTCAACTCGCTAGAGAAAATGATTTTAGTGCGTTTCACCAACTTAAAATACTTCAAATATTGACAGCTGTTTCCACCTATTTAAGGTCTCTTTAGTATCGAACAACTTGTAGTGTCACACCAAAGCAAAGGACTACCTGAGCTTATACTCTTCATGTAAGTCAACAGAGGTGAGATTTCAGAACATCACGTGATCCACACCGCCTTTGCCGCGATCTCTTATTTTACAAACAACATATTTAGTAAACTGAACCATACAGCGGGTTGGTTTCACTAAAGTTTTCTGGGTTAATTTAACCAATTTAAAAAAAAATAAAATAACTATCTGGTTTAGTACCGTCAAACTAATCTTTGTTTATATTAACCTTCCCATAGTTGATTTAAATAAATACTTATGGGTCAACTAAATTAATATAGTTAAATGAACTATTCCTTTTTTTCTGTGTAGGTGCACTTCTCAAATATTTTTAGATAAACACCGTTTTGGTGTTTGCTGTATAAAACATTTTCAACCATAATTCATGGTGTTATATTAACACCACTTGGTGTTGGATTTTGACACCATTTTAAGATTACTCTTCATACCACAGATATTTTTAACAGTGTAGCATAACTCTTACCTTGGGTCTACTACCGCCATTGGGTCACTATCAGGGCCCATTTTGGCGGTACCAGTGGGATGGTAAATGGTCATGGTGTAATGTTGAGCTTGGCATGCCCAATAATCGTCCGAGAAAGTTTCGTGTTCCTCACACCCAGGCAATTTGTACGGGTTTATTCTCACATTGTATTTCTTCATTGCTTTCGTGTAGGCCAACTTGTTCGCCATTTTAGCCCCTTCTACCTAAAAAGTTAGTTACTTAGTTTCCATGTCAATAAGTGTCAAACCAAGTGAAACGTCATAATATATTATAGATTTTTCGCGAAATTGAAATGAACATTTTGTAAGAAGAGCTACCATATGACATCTTGGAGGCAGCAAATACTGTAAATGAGAATTTATTACCAGCGAAATCTTGTCAAAAATATGAGAAACAATCTAAACATTTTGAAAACTGGTGCAACAACAAACAAAGGGACAAAAAGTTTTAAGGAAGAAGCGTTTCTGGCCTATTTTGAGGATTTAAGAAAATCATACTTGTGGAGTAGGTACTCCATGTTAAAAAGTTAATACAAATTTGGATTTGAGTCTATATTATAAATTAACATCCTATATAAAAAAGGAACATGTGGGATACCGACCAAAAAAGTCCAAAATTTTTGAGAAAGATGACATTTCAAGATTCATTAAAGAAGCACCAGATGAAATTTACCTTTTAATAAAAGTTGCCACTATTTTTGGGTTGGCTGGTGCTTGTAGGCGAGAAGGGCTCTCAAAGATAATGATTGATGATATATATATCATCAATCATTATCTTTGAAATTTTATGATTACCAAATTTTCTTTATCTTCTATAGAAGATAAAGAAAATTTGGTAATCATAAAATTTCGGACAGTAAAGATTAGACATCAAGAATCTTTGTGATATCTGATGAAATCAATAATGGTCATTACTTACAACTGAAAATATAGGAGGGGAAGGAAAATAACTATTTCCTCCAAAAGAGAAGATTCTTCAAATAGCATGAGTAGTGCTAAGTAATTTCACAACTATCTACATCACATTCTGAAAACTCTGAAGTAGAAGTGAGAGCTTGGTTTATGTTAGATAATGGAATAAAACTCTTTTTGCAATTAGAGCTTTATGTCATAGTTAATTTTAGTAAAAGTTTGTCTCAACTTACCATGATTTTTAAATCCCTAGGGTCACCGTAATAATTCGGATATATCAGTATTTTAGAATCGATTTTGTTGTTTTTAAGCATAAGCCTGCCTCTGCTGTAAGGGCGCATCACCAAGGTTAATATACTGAAGGTTTCCTTGTAAATGTTCGGTTCGTAGACGGCGCTGTAAACGTCATCAGCCAAATTGACAGCTCTGCGTCCAAATAGACCGCCGTCACTTCCGTCGGAATAGGGGGCCATGAAGTACTGGATGTCCGGCCAGTCATCCGATTGGTTGGCGTATTTGGTGCTTAAAAAGGTGCCTATTAGTGCCACATTCATTTCTCGATAAAATGATTACCTGACAAATCCCATGACTTCGCACACCGGAAGCCAGTACATCGGCCCATCCTTCTTTTGCGTAAATTTGTCGACCGTATCAGGGGCGAAAACTTTCGGCAAGTTGAAGCAGTAATTTTCGTCGCCTTCGTAACCATCTGGCATCTCGAAAAGATACACCTGCCCACCCATGGCAACGTGATCTTGAAGGTTCATACCTACACCAGGTGAATCGACTATAACGTCGACACCAAAATCCTCCAGATGGTCTTTGGGTCCAACCCCGGAAAGCATGAGTAACTGTGGACTGGCCAAAGACCCGGCACTAAGGATGACCTCTCTATCGGCGTAAATGGTCTTCTTGGCCCCTAGCTTCTTCAATATGACCCCAGTCGCTTGATAACTCTCAGGGTCTATGATAACTTTTTCTACCGTTGTTAGTAGACTAACGTGCAAGTTTTCTCTGTTGCAACACGGTCTTAGGAAAGCTTTGGCAGTGCTGCATCGTAGACCATCGCGTAGGGTACCATGGGAAAGGGTGAACCCTGTTTGGTACTCCCCGTTCACGTCTAGAATGCTATAACCCAACTCTTTGGCGGATTCTAGAAAGGAAGGGGCCATGGCAGAATGATACCTAGGGTAAAAAAAGTATCACATAGATTATGAAATTCTGTTTGCAGTTTTACCTGAAATATTCCACAGTTAGGGGTCCTCCAGTGCCGTGGTACTTATCTTCCTTGTATTCTTCTATACGCATGTCCTCGCTTTTTTTAAAGTACGGCAAAACGTCATCGTATCCCCACCCTGGGTTTCCCAGCTCTTCCCATCGATCGTAGTCCCTTCTATTGCCTCTGATGTAAAGCATCGCATTTATGGTACTGCAACCACCAAGGACCTTTGCTCGGGGCCAGTTACATCTTCCTTGTAAATGAAAATACATTATATATTATACCTCAAAATTTAAGGTCCAGACATTTTTGGAAATAGTTACCTTCCTTCATAGCTTTGCAGTACGTTTCCCCAGCTTCCGTTTGGTATTGCCAGTCCAAAGGGGATCTTTGTAAGACAGGAAACAGTAGAGGCATATCCGTCAAGGAAATTTCGTCTGGGCCTGCCTCTAGTAGAAGAATATTCCAAAATGGGTTTTCGCTCAGTCTATTGGCCAAAACTGAGCCGGCACTTCCCCCTCCCACCACTATAAAATCGTAGTGGTCCATGAGTTGGTGGAACGGAGTGTCATGAATTCTAAAAAATAAAATGTGTGGTACTTATTGTTATCCTAATTATTATGTTACCAACCTATTTTCCCTATCCAAAATGTCAGGCCTAGCGTTTAAAGTAGAAGAATGTAGATACATCAAGAACCCAAGACCTGGTCCCAAAGTAAGCGCCATCCTGGTCATGGAATATAAATTCATTTGGCTGTGTAAATCGGCCATCTTGAATTATTTGGGAACACTACAAAACAAAGGATGAGTAAAATTACAAATCAGTGTATGCCAATACAAAATTATAATACAATTTGAGTAATCTTCCAAGACATGTTGGGAAATCTACTAAGATAAGTTGTAATTTTACAATCTTTATGTATAAATCCTACACGCATTGTAATTTTACTAAAAAGTTTGACAGTTTCTAATAAAAAGCATCTCAGATTTACGAACGTCGTTTGTAATTTGATTTGCTATAATGTTATGTAAAATGCATAGTAAGTACCGATTGCGGCAATCACGTGATGTTCTTACATCTCGCCTCGGTTGACTTAGGTGGACAGTATATAAGCTCAGGTGTCTTTCGTTTTTGGTGTGTTCCAATACACCAAATTGCCCGACATTGATCAGAACCAAAATAGGTCTATCTGTCTAGCTGTCTGTCGGTATTTGAAGTTGGTGGAACGCACTTAAAACAAAAACTCTGGCGAGGTGAAGGTTCAATTTTTTTTAAATCTTTACAGTATAATGGGTCAAGAAAGTTTCTTGAAGAATTTAAGAAAATTGCGGTTTTTTTTCGTAGTATAATTACAATACCATAATTCGTAAATTACTAAATGTTTTTAGTGTAATTTGTTGTACAAAATAACAATATTTGTATTGTAATATTGCGAAACGAATTTTCTTCAGTTCAGTAAAATTGTAAATTATATTTTGTAATTTTCTTAAACTGAGTTGAAATGAATTGTATAGTTAATTACAATGCACCATTTTAAAATTACTAAACATATTTAGTATTTTTTTAGAAAAATTACATTACTGAACAAATTTTTAATAAATGCTTAGTGAATTTCAACAAACGTTTTGTAATTTCTCCAAATTGAGTTATAATGAACCGTGTAGTGAATTTACAAAACTGAGTTTTATTATTACTATATTGTGGTGCGTAAAAACTTCCTAAACATGTTTAAGTAAAATTACAATAGAAATATTCAACAGTGTATATGAAGTGAAATTTAGAACTTTTTGACATATTTTGTCACTTCTAGTTTCACTAGAAATGCTGTTAAGATTTTAGAGTAAAATGTAAATTCTTAATATTTTTGCCTGTGTTACTTTTAAAAGATGTCAAAAGTATACGTAAGTTAATTTTGGTTAAAATAATAAAAAGTAAGTATTACATACCTAAAAGTAATGAATCGAATGCACAAGAAACTTAAAAAAACGCGATTTTAAAGAAATATAGAACACAATTTAGAAAAATTTTGGTTCGGTTAACAGATATGAGTGAGGCAGTCTTTTTGACTAGGGCTCTTTCAGAAAGGGAAATAAGTATTAAGGCAAGAGGTTCAGAAACTAATGCGCAGATTCAGTAGGTTTAGAAATTACAAATTTTCATTGGATTTCATATTTCCTTTTTTTATTTATTGCCAGAGATTACCTACAATGACGACACTACGAGGCGGTAAGATATAACATTTTATAGTCGTTTTAAAATTTTTAAATGATTTTATTTGGTAGTTTTAAAACCAAATAATGTTGAGCCATGGTAAAATAAAATGTTAATATTCACTTACCAGCAATATATATATATATTGTTTCACTATTCTTCAATATGTTCACTTTGAAACCAAAAATAAACTAAAATTTTGCTATCAGTGTGAACAAAGATTTTTGCACATCTTGCAAATTTGTTGATAATGTTTAATACGATGTTTACAAATAATCATAATTCTCGTGTATTAGTGTTGGCATTTTCTTTAAAATGTGTTAATTGGACGTTTATAATAAAAATACGTACAATCTTATGCATAATTTATTATAAATAAATACAAAAATAACTATATACATTTATGTAGACTAGCAAACAAATATACAACGTTGAAAAATCACCCATACCTCGCAGTTTTCAACCAAAACTCCTTGATTAAGTCCGCACCCTTTTCTCCAATCATTATACAGGGGGCGTTGGTGTTCCCGCTCACTAGATTGGGCATTATGGAGGCGTCTATCACTCTTAACCCTTTGATCCCGTATACGCGTAATTGCGGGTCTACGACTGCGTCTTGGTCCCAGTACGGTCCCATTTTCGCCGTCCCAACGGGATGGTAGATGGTTACCGAGTACAGGCGTATCATGCACTCCCAAAATTGATCCGATAGTTTGGGGTACTTCTTGCAGTCTGGAAACTCGTGTAGGGTGCTCTTGTACGATTGAAATGCCGGGGTTAGTGATAGTTGGTAACCTATCTTGGCACCTTCGATTAAGGTCTTCATGTCGAAGTTATCCATGAAGTAGTTGGGGTATATCAGTGGGGGGTCGAAGTATTTACGGCTGCGTAGCTTGATGAAGCCTCGGCTTTTCGGTCGCAGTAGCATGGGGATGACGCTCCAAGCATCCACGCCCTCTATGTTTTGGAAGGTGCGTTTGTAGAAAGCTTCCGTAAGACCGTGCGCTTTACGCAGCTGCGCGCCTTTGTCCGAATGCGTCGACCCAGAAACGAAATGGAACTCTATATCGGGAAAATCATCGCTGGCGTTGGCGTATTTTGTGTTGACGAACGCTAACCCTTCCACGCCTCCCATGATGGTCAAAGGCCCGCCGCCAAATATCGCGTACTGCATTAAAGGCCCCACAGAGTACACTCTATCGAGAGTGATGGATTCCTCTTTGTCGATTAGGAAAGTCAACCCCCCCAACCCAATGTGATCCTGGAGATTATGACCGACTTTTAAGTCTTGTATGAGGGGGATTTTATGTTTCTCCAAGTCCGCTTTAGGGCCAATCCCGGAAAGCATCAGTATTTGCGGGGAATTCACTGCACCAGCAGACAGTATGACCTCCTTATTCGCCCTCACCCTGTGCAACTTGCCATCCCGTATAAACTCAACCCCAAACGCGATCTTTGTGCTGGGATCCACCAACACCCTAGTAACATGAGATCGCATAGCCACGTGTAGATTCTTCCTGAGCCTTACCGGCCGTAAAAAGGCTTTACCGGTCGAGCATCGCGAGCCTCTTCGCACAGTCCCCTGCGCCATCATGAAACCCGTCTGGTGCTCGCCGTTTATGTCGCGGTTGGCGTAGCCCATCTGTTGCCCGCCAGCCACGAAAGCTGCCACCAACGGGGTGTGGTACGGGGCTTCTGATACTGTGAGGTAGCCTCCTAAAAATACAAAAATTCGGCTTTCTTATATTTAATTGTGGCAATTGGGCGTTCAGAACGTCAGTTGGTAGTGCTTGTGTAAAATTCTGTAGTGGTTGCAAGAGATTTTGGCTTTGGGGTACAGAACTAGTAAGTTTTAAGACAAAAATGCTCTACACAGGATACCCCGCATAAGGCTACCCACAGAGGCTAAGCATGGGTATCTTGTTCATGTTTTAAGGTAAATTGTTGGTTAAATTACACTGTGCGACAAATTTTGACCTTACAATTTGAACTGGGATGAAATGTGGAAAAATCGAATCTATGCAACCCCCAAAACTAATCTTTAAAGGGGTTTTGCTAGTTTAGCTCGAATAAGGGAGATATACAGGGTGTTTCTTTTAACTTGAGACAGCTCAATATCTCGAGAAATACGCATTTCACGGAAAAATGTCTCAAATAAAAGGTTAATGTGACCAAAGGGGACATTATTTGGTGCTACCGCTAGCCACCCCCTACCCCTCCTTAAGGGTGAAACGGGGGGTAACTTTGGAAAGTCAAATGGAATGACCCGATTTTTTTCACAGAGTTTGGTAGTACATAAAAAAATTAATAACTTTTATTTGAAAGTTTTTTTCAATTTATCAACAGATGGCGCTGTAATTCAAAATTTAAGAAAAAGGGGTTTCCTTGTAAAATGGAAATGGAATGACGACATTTCAAACATTTGTTATAAATTGTTTTCATAGCCGACTATTGTTGTTAATGTTAATTTTTGTTTTTCAAACGTTTCAAATAATACATTTTACAAGGAAACTCATTTTTCTTAAATTTTGAATTACAGCGCCATCTGTTGATAAATTGAAAAAAGTTTTAAATAAAAGTTATTTATTTTTTTATGTACTACCAAACTCTGTGAAAAAAATCTGGTCATTCCATTTGACTTTCCAAAGTTACCCCCCGTTTCACCCTTAAGGAGGGGTAGGGGGTGGCTAGCGGTAGCACCAAATATTGTCCCCTTTAGTCACATTAACCTTTTATTTAAGACATTTTTTCGTGAAATGCGTATTTCTCGAGATATTGAGATATTGAGCTGTCTATTGTTAAGTTAAAAGAAACACCCTGTATATCTCCATTATTAGAGCTAAACTGGTAAAACCCCTTAAAGGATTTGTTTTGGGGGTTGCCTAGATTCGATTTTTTCAGATTTGATCCCAGTTCATTTTTTGTGTTGCACAGTGTTATTTGTTCAATTTTATGAAATTTGACTTATGATTTTGAGTTTTCAAGAAATCATCAGAAAAATATAATTTGTAATTTTTATTTCTTATATTAACATTATTAAGGCACTTTATTAAGAAGAATTCAAATCTGACCAAATCTTTTTGCTAGCTTTCAAAACAGCTGACACACAGACACCAAACACTCGGTCTATAGACACCGTTGCGACACCGAGTTGCAGATGTGGTGTCTCTCTATCTGCTCTAGCATATTGTGAATTTAAATAAGTTAGTAAATGTGATAGTTGAGCTGAGACACTCACTCTACAGAGCAAAGTCTAGACTTAAAATTGCTTGTAGTTTAGACGTCATCTGGTCTAGCAGAGACATCAGTGTCTGTGAGTATATTGTAATGTGGAGTAAAAACTACTTTTGATTTCTCACCTTTTGAATGATAGGGCGTTTCAGTCAAATATGGATTTTGGTTATCCTCGGATTTCTTAAAGTAATATAAAGCATCCTTGCTGCCCCATCCGGGATTTCCCAAGGCCTCCCATATATCGTAATCCTTTTTATTGCCTCGAAGATACAACATGTAATTCAGTACCGAAGAACCGCCAATGACCTTACCCCTGGGCCAATTGCATCTACCATTGGCCATAGCTAAAATGATAATATTAATAAAAAGTGTTTTATAGAGACTATTTCCCTCGTCTTAATTTCCACCAATCACAAACGCGCAATTTTGAATTACAAATGGTTTCTAGGTGAAAAAACTGTGTGACAGCACCTGTCAGCAGTTTTTTCGAGTTTACCCGCTGCAAAACTTGACTGCTGTTGTCACCAAAAATTGCAATTTATATTTTAATTGTTAACTGTTACTCATGAAATAGTCTTGTCAAATACCATTCGGGCATCTAATTTTTCCTGTGAAAAAAATCGAAAAAACACAATGCTAAGTAATATTTTTTAACAAAATGCATTCGTGCAGGTGCAAAAATCCTCCTCTTCGACTCGGATTTTTGTTGCCACCAGCACTCATGCTTCTTGTTAAAATATTACTTAGCAACTTGTTATTTCTATTTTTTTCGGAAAAATTAGATGCTATTACTTACGAATAACTGAGGAGCATCCGTGCAAAACCGGCTAAATCCATTTTATTCAGTTTTTGTTTTTTTTTTATTTCGCATCTTTGGGTTCATTTCTATCGACAACCAAGATAATTCTGTTTAAATCCGACTATATCCATGTTAAAATCACATTTAAAAGGTAGCTTTAGGAGCAAAACCGGCCAAATCCACGTTTTTATAGCAAACCCGGCTATATCCAATAAATAATAATATGTGGCTTGGATATGTCGATACTACTACTAAAATTTGTTCTGTTTTTTCGTGTTTGCACTAAATTTATTTTGTTAATATTTTTGAATAATAAAGGTTTTTTTCACATTTTATTCATAGGTTTTTGAGCAAAACCGGCTATATCCAAAACATTTTTTGAAATTTTGGCCTTAATATAAAGTTTTTGAAAACGAAAGTATGTCTTATAAATCAAGTACCACAAAGCCCACAAAACTCAAGTTTGCTTTTTCTTTTATCTGTAAAGGCCAGGAAACCGAGAGTTTGTGCCATTTTCCCAACATTTTATTAAAGTGGATATAGCCGGTTTTGCACGGATGCTCCTCAACTATTACCTAAGCAAGCAGATCCTTGAGGTTCACTTTTGTATTTCCAATCTAGCTGCGATAGTTGTAAATATCCGGCCATCAAAGGTACATCGGAAAGTTCAGTCTCATCTCCTCCTGCCTCTAGTAGAAGAACGTTCCAATTTTCTATTTCACTAAGTCTATTCGCCACTACAGCACCTAAAAAGTCATATAATTTCCAGTATTTTTCTGTGGGAGTTATGCAGTCGACATATTTTTACCTGCCGAACCAGCCCCTACCACTACAAAATCGTATCTATCCAACATTTGCTCGTCTTCCACGTCAATGGGTCTGCTCTCTGGATCCATAAGGTCGTATTGAAAGTAAGCTATTGCTGCCAACAGAGCTGGTATAAATACCCCTAGGTTCGAGGTCACTGCTGCCGCCCCCAAGCCAAAAAGGGGGGCTGTAATGCTGCTCATAGCTAAAAAAAAACTATTTTAGAATTTGAAAAAATACATTACGTTAAAAGTACAATAGGTGGCTATGAACAATTGAGGCTAGCCTCCCACACCGTAAAGAAAAAATTAACCATTACCATTTATAAACACCATATTCTTAAACACATCCACCCAACAACAAACAATTCTTCTTATTAATTAAACTTCAATTACTTTTACCTTCGTTTAATTTAAATTTGATTCACATCGTCATTCCCCACTCCTATGGTTTAACTTTTAGTTTTGATTTTTTGGTGTACGTGCAAATTTAAATGAATTGTCATTTCAAATGCACGATTTGTTTATGCATATATGTGTGTATTTGTAACCGAATATTTAGGCAATATATATTTAAAATTTGTTGAAACATTTTTGAAGGAGTGAAAGTGCATTTGTAAGGTTAATTTGTATTCGTAAGGTGTAGGGTTTGAATTTGAATGGATAACCTATATCGAAAATGTAATCAAATTTAAAAGGTTTATTAAGTCGCTTCACATTGGAAATTCCTTCCCCAGAATAAAAAATATTTGAGAAGTGCACCTACACAGAAAAAAAGAAATAGTTCATTTAACTATATTAATTTAGTTGACCCATAAGTATTTATTTAAATCAAAGAAGGTTAATATAAAGATTAGTTTGACGGTACTAAACCAGATAGTTATTTTATAGAAAACTTTAGCTGTATGGTTCAGTTTACTAAATATGTTGTTTGTAAAATAACAGTTACTTCAACCTAAAGCACTCTGTTAAAACGATTAAAACAATTTGCCGTGCATTCCTGGTTGCATAGTGTGTACTGATCGCTGCAAAGGCGGTGTGGATCACGCGACGTTCTTAAATCTCGCCTCCGTTGACTTAAATGAAGAGTATATAAGCTCAGGTAGTCCTTTGCTTTGGTGTGACACTACAAGTTGTTCGATACTAAAGAGACCTTAAATAGGTGGAAACAGCTGTCAATACTTGAAGTATTTTAAGTTGGTGGAACGCACTAAAAACATTATCTCTAGCGAGTTGAGGGTCAATTTTCTGGCATAATACCATACTAGTAATGAGTCAAGGAACTTCCTGTTTCCTTTTTTTTCCTTTTTTTCTGTTTAGTATGATATAACTTGACCAAAAAGACATAATATTTAACACTGAAAAGGAGTTTAATTTACACCAGGTAAAATTTATTTTAATACTGTGTGAAAGTTAAATTTACACTATTTTAGTATTTGAATTTACACCGGACCAACAAACATTTTGGTTTGTATCGATATAGACCATGTATGGTGTTAATTTGGCAAAATGGTCATGAAATTTTGAACAGTGTATCACAAAGATTCTTGATGTGTAATTTTTACTATCCGAAATTTTCACGATTATCATATTTTCTTTATCTTCTTTATCATCAATCATTATCTTTGAGAGACAACCCAAAAATAGTGGCAACTTTTATTAAAAGGTAAATTTCATCTGGTGCTTTTTTAAGGAATCTTGAAATGTCATCTTTCTCAAAATTTTGGACTTTTTGGTCGGTATCCCACATTTTTCTTTTTTATATATGATGTTAATTTATAATATAGACTCAAATCCAAACTTTTATTAACCTTTAGGACACTTTTTAACATGGAGTACTTACTCCACAAAGTATTTGGCTAATATGATTTTCTTGAATTCGCAAAATAGGCCAGAAACACTTCTTTCTTAAAACTTTTTGTCCCTTTGTTGTTGCACCAGTTTTCAAAATGTTTAAATTGTTTCTCATATTTTTGACAGAATTTCGCTAGTAATAAATTTTCATTTACAGTATTTGCTGCCTCCAGGATGTCATATGGTAGCTCTTCTTCCAAAATGTTAATTTCAATTTCGCGAAAAATCTATAATATATTATGACGTTACTAATACTTAACATTTTTTTATTATTCGATAACTGTATCTATTGAACTGTTTTGTTTTTTTTTTACATTTTGCCGGTTGACCCAATAAACCACAAATTTATGTAAATTATATTATTACGCAAGAATGAATCATCCGAAAAATAAATTAAATTAAATCTAAAGCACTTACCCAATTGTAGAGACAACCTGTATAATAAAAATTAACAAGAGTAACGAAAAAAGCACTTTTTTAAATTAAATTATTTCATCCAAAATCACATCAACTTTAACATAATATAGCACTTCAGTTTTCTTCTTAGATTAAAACACATGTCTCTTAAACTATCAATAGTTATCACTATGAAATTATCTTCTGTAGAAAGACCTTGTCGCTTCCAAACTTGAACTTGTACATGCGATGAAGAAGGTGGAAGAAAGAAGAATGTTGAAGAATTAATATTCCCGCATTCACTTGTGCAGAGCCGTACTGAAGCCGTTGGGTGGATGTAGGCCAAGTGTACTGTTATTTTCTTGTAGCGTACTTTGGTGTACGTGAGGAATCGGATGTAGGAAATTTGTTCTGTGAAATCCATATTTGAATATAATTTACCAATACAATTTATCGTAAAAAAGGACCTTTTGATTGTTATTAAATGGTTATTTAAAATTAAAAAAGTCGTTATATACATTACGTAAAAAAAAGTCAACTGTATTTAAATCTGGAGAACGAGGAGGCCACGACAGAATTCTAGTCTACGTGGAAGATCTTGAGGATTTAAAGCTAGTACTCTGTGTAAGGGGATATAGCAGTTGCTCGTGCATTATTTCCCAAACTGTTGGCTATTAAAATATAATATATAATTAACATTATAAAATTTAACACATTTTGAAGACATTTTCAAATATATTTAATCCGGCACTGTCCTATTAAACTTCGCTGGTTGAATTAACTTTCTTCTTGTTGTACAGTTCTTTAAACATTGCCACTAATCACGTAGGTAGGTACAACTATAATTTCCTGCAGTTGGTCAGTTAAGTTTTAATGGGTTTTTTTGTTTGACTGCATCTACGTGGTCGTGAGTAGGTATCACTGTGATACCTACTATCACATCCCGTTTTCTGTGGCTCAGGTATTAAATTGAGCTATGATTTTTAAATTTTGAAAATTATAACTACACTGAAAGAAATATATGTTTGTTTTAGCAATGTTTGTGGTTCATATATGGACTACCACATACATTGCTAAAACAAACATATATTATATTTAGTTTTAACATAATATGTTAAAACTAAATATAAAAATGGTTAAGGTAAATATATTATATGTTTGTTTTAGCAATGTATGTGGTAGTCCATATATGAAACATAAATTTCTTTCAGTGTAGATTATATGGGCTGAAGTTAGTTTTAAGTTAGTTGACAGTTGTCAAATGTTATACAGTCGTTAAAATAAAGTGCCTTTCTTGTAAAATAATACTAAATTTGAAAATTATTTTATTATCTCATTACAAAAATACAAAATTATTAAATACTTTCTTGCAATATTTGAAAAGATTAATGAACGTTGTACAGTTAACTAGATTTAACTGATAAAGCGTTAAAAATGTTGCGTACAGTTTAATTAAAATAATAACTGGCAATGCATTTTATAAAATGTTATTTCAAAATACATAAAAATTTGGACTTTGGATAAAAAAATCTAACACCCGAAACGATGGAATGACCCTTATCAAACTTGATACATACGTTTTCCTTATATAAAAAACCTAATTTTTAACACTTTTTTATTTATTTCAGGTGGCTGTTGCGGCTCAACGAAACGAGTAACAATAGTGGGAGGCTGGGCGTGGGCGTGGTGGCTCGTCACAGACGTGCAGCGTCTCTCGCTGGAGGTGATGACCTTGAATCCTATGTGCGAGAGCGTCGAGACGTCGCAAGGCGTCCCTCTGACCGTCACAGGCGTCGCACAGTGCAAAATAATGAAGGCTGACGAGCTGTTGCACACTGCCTCAGAGCAGTTTTTGGGGAAGTCCGTCAAAGAGATCAAGAGCACGATTTTGCAGACTTTGGAGGGACACTTGAGGGCGATTCTAGGTGAGTGGGGGTGGGGGTTAAAATATAGTAAAATTTACTTTAACAAATATTTAGGGTAACAATTAGTGCTGAACATTAGATCCGGATCCTTTTTCAATCCGGATTTAATCAAATGTAATCTAATATTATAATATATAACACATTAATAAAAAATATAGTAAAAATAAATATAGGTACTTTTATGTTTAAGGTAAATAAACAATATTTTTAAATATAATATACAATATAGTAACTCATCACATTTTAAACATTCAATTTTCTTAGTTTCTTCAATAAACTTTCTTGACCCATTACTGGTTATACTTATAAGAAAGAATTGAACCTACTTGGTTGCATAGTATGTACCGATTGCGGCAAAGGCCACGTCGCGACGCGTCGTTAGACGGTGTGGATCACGTGATGTTCTTACATCTCGCCTCTGTTAGCTTACCAACCACGTTATATAAGCTCAGGTATTTCTTTGTTTTGGGTGTGTTCCACTACTACAAGTTGCTCGACAGTGTCGTGTCGACACTGATGATACCCAATATAGGTCAAAACACCTGTCTGTCGGTATTTGAAGTTGATGGAACGCACTCAAAACAAAAAACTTTGGCGAGGTGTAGGTTCAATTCTTTCTCATAACATTTTTGTGTATTAAAAAGTACAATAAATATGTTACAATTTTTAATTGCCAACATATTCGATTTTAAAATATTTTATATTTAAAATGGCAACATAATATTTTAAATTTACTATACCTACTTATTAGTATTGGAAAAAATCTAATTATAATAAGAATTAAAAACAAAATTGGTTGAGAATAATAATATTTTACCTTAAGGTTTAACATACATGGATATTTAAAAATTACTAAATATGCATAGTATCTGGCAATATACAAGATAGTTGTCCCAAATAGTAATATAAATTATAGTAAAGGGTAAATAATATTATAATTATGGTAATCAGCATTTACTTTTCTCTCCTTGTATCACTCGGCAGATCATAGTTTCATAAAATGTCAATTTTAGTGTCTAGTAGTGAAATTATTTGCTAAGAAAAAAATATAAAATAAAAAACTTGCTGTTTGTAGAATAACAAAAAACAATAATGAACTGAAAAATTTTGACCTTGAAATTAAAAATTTTGAGAAAGTTTATTTTCTTCTATAGACACTTTTTAATTTTTTCAAAACCCCATTAAAAAGTCTTTAAATCAAAACTATAAAACATCACAAAATTATTAAAAACTATAAATTTTCCACTTTTAATAATTAATATATCCCAAAAGGTATAAATGTGCATATAAATTTGTTCCAGACAACCGTCTAAATCCGATATAGAAGCAGTTTTTTACAGTGAAAATGTACTTGCCTGAAAATAGTCTTTAGGGTTTGATTTAAAACTTTTTAGAATCTTTGAACCACAACCTGTATAAAATAACTTAACAATATTAATTTTAACTTACGGTTGTAAAATATTAATTTTGATTGTCTTATATATAAATAATAATTAAATTTTCCAACCATGGTTTTTAAAATTTTAATTAAAACTTTAAATCAATTATAGAAGAACATTTTTTGAAATCAATAATCGAAGATAAGCAATATGTTTCTTCAAATAACTAGCTTTAAAATTAATTATGGACTTTTTGGAGAAAAATTTTCAGCTAAGCAGATCAAAAATTTTTGAAATTTTAAAAAATAAGTGGGAAATGAAAAACAAAAAATAAAAATTATCTGCTGTTAGATTCAACCTTTTTGTGAAAAATCTAAAAGTTAATGATCCTTAAGAGTCCTGACAATATATACATTATATACAATACATTATGTATACATTATAATTATTATCAAGCCACTACAAGTATTAACGTCCTGTGTCTTTAACAAAAGTCCAATGATTGGACAACATTCACATAAAATTTTAATGTATTTTATATAAATGATTTTCAAAGCGTAAGAAAAAGTCTAATGGTGTCAGATCTGGAGGACATTCTATTGGGCCTCTTCTACGACCCACTGTTACGCGTTTAGCATTTGTGTAAACCATTTTGGAAAACCAACATTACTATTTAAAAAATATTTTAAAGAAGCAACATATTTTTGTTGTGCATCTTGTAGAACGTGAAAAATCCGTTTGTTTGATACCCCACAAGCCTATGTTCGTCATTTGTTTAAGGGTAGTTTTGCACGTTTAAGTATTGCGATCTTCATTTGTTCAACTTTTTAGTTTCTTGTCTAAACATAGCGATGTTGGTACTCATTTTACGTGATTTTTTTCGTAGATTACAAAGATACTAATAAAAATACGATTTACATTAAAATAAAATAAAATAATTTTGGAATGCCAAATTATAGTTTTTTGATTTGCATCTTATAGAAAGTGAAAAATCCGTTTGTTTGATACCCCACAAGCCTATGTTCGTCATTTGTTTAAGGGTAGTTTTGCACGTTTAAGTATTGCGATCTTCATTTGTTCAACTTTTTTGTTTCTTGTCTAAACATAGCGATGTTGGTACTCATTTTACGTGATTTTTTTCGTAGATTACGAAGATACTAATAAAAATACGATTTAGGTACATTAAAATAAAATGAAATAATTTTGGAATGCCAAATGATATTTTTTGATTTGCATCTTGTAGAACGTGAAAAATCCGTTTGTTTGATACCCCACAAGCCTATGTTCGTCATTTGTTTAAGGGTAGTTTTGCACGTTTAAGTATTGCGATCTTCATTTGTTCAACTTTTTTGTTTCTTGTCTAAACATAGCGATGTTGGTACTCATTTTACGTGATTTTTTTCGTAGATTACGAAGATACTAATAAAAATACGATTTACATTAAAATAAAATAAAATAATTTTGAAATGCCAAATTATAGTTTTTTGATTTGCATCTTATAGAAAGTGAAAAATCCGTTTGTTTGATACCCCACAAGCCTATGTTCGTCATTTGTTTAAGGGTAGTTTTGCACGTTTAAGTATTGCGATCTTCATTTGTTCAACTTTTTTGTTTCTTGTCTAAACATAGCGATGTTGGTACTCATTTTACGTGATTTTTTTCGTAGATTACGAAGATACTAATAAAAATACGATTTAGGTACATTAAAATAAAATGAAATAATTTTGGAATGCCAAATGATATTTTTTGATTTGCATCTTGTAGAACGTGAAAAATCCGTTTGTTTGATACCCCACAAGCCTATGTTCGTCATTTGTTTAAGGGTAGTTTTGCACGTTTAAGTATTGCGATCTTCATTTGTTCAACTTTTTTGTTTCTTGTCTAAACATAGCGATGTTGGTACTCATTTTACGTGATTATTTTCGTAGATTACGAAGATACTAATAAAAATACGATTTACATTAAAATAAAATGAAATAATTTTGGAATGCCAAATGATATATTTTGATTTGCATCTTGTAGAACGTGAAAAATCCGTTTGTTTGATACCCCACAAGCCTATGTTCGTCATTTGTTTAAGGGTAGTTTTGCACGTTTAAGTATTGCGATCTTCATTTGTTCAACTTTTTTGTTTCTTGTCTAAACATAGCGATGTTGGTACTCATTTTACGTGATTTTTTTCGTAGATTACGAAGATACTAATAAAAATACGATTTACATTAAAATAAAATGAAATAATTTTGGAATGCCAAATGATATATTTTGATTTGCATCTTGTAAAACGTGAAAAATCCGTTTGTTTGATACCCCACAAGCCTATGTTCGTCATTTGTTTAAGGGTAGTTTTGCACGTTTAAGTATTGCGATCTTCATTTGTTCAACTTTTTTGTTTCTTGTCTAAACATAGCGATGTTGGTACTCATTTTACGTGATTTTTTGAAAACTGTAAAAACAAACTCAAGGATACTTGTTATAGGGATAGTGAACACTTTTATTTCCTATAGTCGCGTGTAGGAAGACGACTATCCTGTCTTAACATATCCTTGGGCTTTTTTGACGTTGCAAAATAATATCGTTAGTCATTATTTCGTTTATTACATATTTAAATTTTAAATTGGCCTCAATTAATTTGTTTATCTCTAGAAGTTTCTGCATCATTTACCACACGTTTTTTTTATAAATATTAATTAACTTTGATAAGTTAATCATTACGAAAATGCACGTCCATATTTTGTTTAACACTTAAGCCTGATTTATAGATTATTTTTATTCTTTGGAATTTAGAAAAAAAACTACCCATTTTAGTATTTTACATTAATCGCATAACACCCTGTATAGCAATAGATTTGTTACTTTAATCACGAAGATACCAAAATTAAAGAAAACATTAATATAATTATAGACAGATTATAATAATTATTATAGATACTCCGATAATTTTAAACCTATTAGGTAAACCTATGTAGGGTATTGCATGATAAATAAGGTAAATGTAACTACATTGTAGATGGACGTCGATAATATTTAATAATGTAAAAATACGTCGTCTGTACTATAATTGAAAGGAGGGGGACAAACTTATAATTTAGTGTACATTGTACAGTCGCCGCTTAAACTACGTTTTATCGTGAGGTTTTAAAAGGTTTTGATTAAAATTTTAACACCGAAAATTTGTCGAGTTCCAATAAATGGAAAACAATGGAAATGTTATGGATGGGTCTATTAAATTTGTCCATGACTGTGGGAGTGACTTGTGCTGTTATTAAGGGGTATGTGTTTTTGATAAACCAAATTATCATGTTTAAATTTTTTTTTAAATAAATTTTAGTCGTATAAAAATTGTTTCGGTAGTAAAGAAAAAGTTGCAGTGACAATTCTTTATGCAGTTTATTTAAATGTTAAAATGAGTTTTGGTGGTCACCAAATATCACGTGTTCGTAATCCAGTGTTGCCGTATCTTTTGGACGAAAATGACAGATTGATAATTTTATAAATTTATATGGCACTTCTGCAGGCATTATCTCTGTTATTAACGAAAAAACAAATTGTTCAAAGATAGGACTGCAGTATAATTTTAATTGACACCCTGTATATGCTAATATAACAATGTCTACCATAGCATTGTCAAGGGGGGTTTAACTTACATTTAAAATTCATTAAAATTAGACGATTAATTTGGCTTTTGTGGTGCGTAGATGAGTAAAATCACATGAAAAAGTAGTTAAATATAGGTGACTACGGTCCAGGAGAGACAAAGTATTCTTAGCGGATAATAATCTTCGCTTTTAAAAGAATTTATATAAGTACCATTTTTTAAATACCAACAATATTTTTACTATTTAGTAAACCAAACTGGTATAAGTTACCAACTTAAGTACAAATTAATTGTACATAATTTTAAAAAATTTGGTAAATTGATGATTTTGGGAATTTTAAAAATTTTAGAATTTTGAAAGTTTGAAATTTTATTTTAAATTTTTAAGGATTTTATAGTTATAGTATAGTTAGCTTTAGATATTTTAAAATTTGAAATTTCGGTTTTTTATTTTTGCTAACTTTGGTAATTTAGAAAATTTTACAAATTTTATTTTGAATTTTTTTGTTTTTATCTCCATAAACAATGATATTATTTATCCAAGCAAAAAATAAACAGGTATTCGCACAGTGTATTATGTAATATCAAGAAACTTATCATTGATTGACAGTTCGGTTGTTATAGGTCAGGAACAATCAGAGGCGGCCCAAAGTTTCTACTTTACTTATAAAAATTTTAATGATTTTGTATTAAAAAAAAATGGCAATCTGTTATTCTTAAAAATTTAATGGCGTCAATTTTTCAGGTTGTTATAAGCAATGTAAGATTTTGGAAATTTCATAAATTTTGAATATTTTGAAAATCTTAGATTTAAAATTTAAACAATTTGATAAATTAGTGTAAAACCCATAAATATTAATTTCCATGTTTAAAATTTTTAATAAAAGATACCTACGACAAGTTTATTTAATAGGAAATGTTTTAAATTGAAACAATTGTTCTGTTTAAGTCTTTAATTGATTTTACCTTGAATTAGAACCATCCAAGAAACATTTAATCAATATAAAACGACGTGGGCATATAATAGGATAATACATATTTTGTGGTTTGCTCTTTTAGTTTATTGATTGACGTAGTTATTTTTTAAACACAATTCATACTACCTATATACAGGGTGAGTTACATTTTACGAAAAAATGTTTAAAATAAAAATTAAATGATTTGAGGGGGGAAATCAATCAGTACTAAAGTTAGGATCATTCGACTAAAAATAGGTTGATTTTGTCTAAAACATTTTTTCGTATTTGTAATAGATGGCGCTGTAAAGAAAAAAAATCAATTTTGTTCGATTTTTCTATAAAAATGTCACTTTTTTTGGTAATAATTATCTTATTAAATTAAAATCTGATTTTTTTAAGTATCCACGATTTTTTAACTAATATTTAAGTTTCCTTTGGTTTAAGTTTTAAACATTATTTCATTCGGTGATAATTATCAATTGCGCACCATGGTCACTTTTTACCTGCCAGCATTAAATCCTTTAATTTAAAGGATTATTGTACTATTTTTAATAAAAATACCTCTTTAAGGTAAAGAAAACATTATTTTGTCAATTAATTAATTTAATCCCAATTGAGGTATAAAAAATGGTATTTAGTTATAAATAATAATTATTATTATTACATAGTTCAGCATTATTTAATCAATTTAGTCCGAAGATTAATTTGCAAACAAAAAGACCTCCTTTCGTTAAGCAGTTGTTCGTAATAGATTTTTTAACAGTGGAAGAAAAAATAGAAATAATTTTGATTTATGGAGAAGCAGGCAGGAATCTTGATGATGCTGTTAATATCTACGCTCAGCGTTTTCCGGATAAAATTCGATCGCGTACTTAATTTCACCGTACAGTCAAGCAGTTTACTACAAACGGGAGTGTTCAACCGAATAAAAGAGTTCGTCGAGCAAAAGTCACAGGTGGAAATAATGAAATTAATGTACACAAAGAAAACAGTTTATTTTTTATAAAGCAGTTTTATTTATATTTAATAAATGCTTTATTGCATATAGGGTTAATAAACATCCCATTTAAATGTTTGCTTTTGTTTTTGTTTGTTTTTGTATGTTTCTTAATAAATAATATATTTATTTTTTACTACTATCTTAAAATATTAATAATTAAAATACATTTATTAAAAGTAAAAAAATTATTTATTTAAAACAAATTTATACCATATTGCATAAACATAAAACCTTTGTTAATAATAAACAAATTGAATTGAATTGAACAAAATTGAATATTTATTTATTGTACCAGTTTGTTTTTTACACAAAACAATGAATTTGTTAATAAATAACAAATTTTAAATAATAAAAAAAGTTTCAATATTTATAATAGGTATATAGTTGTTCTTCTAAATACGCCAATGTTATTTGTGTTTCCTGTCTTTAAGATCGGTCAATTGATTTTGTTCCCAAATGACTATTCAATGTCGTGACTTAAAGTTGCAACCATGGTTCGTTTAAAGTGTCTATATTGCTAATTAACGTTTGGAGTATAGACAACACTGGTTGGCCATCCTCATTTATTGTAAACAGCAGGTTGATAGGAATCTTCTGTTAAAAAAAACAACCGACGCCTCTTCTATTCTAAAATAAAAATTTGGATACAATCAAAAAAATATATATAGCGAGGATCTCTTTAACTAAGAATATCACAACAGAATGTAATCATTGCAATGTTGCATTAAAAATCACATTTTAGTTGCTACTTCAGAAGTTTGAACCTGATGGTAAATATTCCGTCATAAAGCTTTTCATTTTTTAAAATCATTGTTAACATTTTAAAGAAGAAAAAAACTGTTATAAATTACCTTTACAATTGGACACAACATCACTTAAACCGAGATCGATAAGAAAGTCCTTTAAATCCATTTTTACAGGTACTTCACTACTTCACAACATAAAACTAAAACTGATGATGCTTACGCGAGGGCGCGAAATAAGTAAATAACGTATTTTAGGGCATATTTGGCAAATTTTGCAAAATATATTTATTAATAAAAAATTATTTATTATTTTTTGCTTAACACAGCTTTATTGTAAACAAAACGTGTAACATTTAATAAAGAAAACATATTCAACAATAAGCATGTATTTCTTATAAATGCATTATTTATTAAAAAATATGATTTATTTTTAATTAACAGATATATCTATGTTTTAAATGTATTAATTCGTTTGGTTTTTATAAAGAAATATTTATTTCTTTTAAGCAAACTCAATAAAACAATTGGCATATTAAATAAAAACATATTAATTTTGCCGTATTAAAATAATAAACAAATATTTGTTATTCAAAAACAATATTTTTTAATTATGACTGAAAACTACCAAATATATGATTTGTTTATTACAATAGTATGATTTCTCTCAGTGTATTAGCAGCAACGGCCGCTAATCCTCACGAGAATTATCTATAGATTTGGGAATATCCCAAACTTCATAATGATTATTTACTAGTTTTTTTTTAATGACTTTTGGCCACTTTTAGGCCAAATTTCTAAAATATTCTTTCTTCTCCCGCAGGAACGCTTACAGTCGAAGAAGTGTACAGAGACCGGGACCAGTTTGCGGCGCTTGTGCGCGAAGTGGCTGCGCCGGATGTCGGCCGCATGGGCATCGAGATCTTGTCTTTCACGATCAAAGACGTCTACGATGAGGTGCAATACCTCGCGTCGCTGGGCAAGGCGCAGACCGCGATGGTCAAGCGAGACGCCGACGCCGGCGTCGCGGTTGCCAACAGGGACGCCGGGATCAGGGTGAGCGTCTCCATCTATTCGTGTTATGTCGTTGGTCGAAAGAATCGCCATCTATTCTTGTTATGTCATTGGTCGATATTCGGATTTTAGGAGGAATGTCATAATTTTGGATTTATTTTTTTTAAATTTTGTGTTTTAAAATTTTTTAAATTTTGGACATTTGATAATTTTAAAATTTGAAAATTCAAAATTGAAATTTTGTTATTTTGGAGATTTTAAAATTTAGTTTTAAAAATTTTGGGGGATATTATTTATTTTTTAGTTTTGGTGATTTAAATAATTGTAATTTTTAAGATTTTATAAATTTTGAATGCTTTGATAATTTTGGATATTTTAAAAAGTACTTAAACATTTGGGATTTGGGAGTTTTTTAAATATCGGTAATTGATAATTTAAAAAAACATTAAATTTTGTTCTGGAGATTTTAAAATTCAGTTTTGAAAATTTTTGGAATGTTTATTTTTTGGTAATTTAAAAAAATTGTAATTTTTGAGATTTTTTTAATTTGATAATTTTGAAAAAAATCGAAATTTTGTTATTTTGGAGATTTTAAAATTCGGTTTTGAAAATTTTGGGGATAATAAATATTTATTTTTTACTTTTGGTAATTTAAACAAATTATAATTTTAAATATTTTAAAATTTTGTCTTTAATTTTTTTTAAATTTTGTAATTTTAAAATTTTTCTTATTTTGAAAATATTAATTTTAATTTTTTCAAGTTTTATAAATTTTGAATAATTTTGGAGATTTTAAATTTAAGTTAAGAACATTTTATATTTGTTTTGAAATTTTGTAAATTTTAGAATTTTTAAAATTTTAGAATTCTGGATATTTTAAGTTCAGAGTTTTTTTTTTAAATTTTGTGAATTTTGGTAATTTTACAATTTTTGGAGATTTTTAATATTGTTTTGATAAATTTGCTTGTAAAGTTTCGACAATTTTATAAAATTTAATTATTTTAAAAATTTTGAAAATTTTATAAATTATTCATAAATATTTTGATATTTTACAATTTGGACATTTAAATTTGAAATTGTTAAAATTTTGGAGTTTTTTAAATTTTGTGAATTTTATTAATTTTGAAAATTTAAAAAAAATTGTATTTTGAACATTTTAAAATTTAGTTTTGAAAATTTTGGAGTCTTTTTAATTTTGGTAAATATTTAAATTTGGGGGAGTTTTTTCAAATTTTGGTAATTTGATAATATTGTTATTTTGGAGATTTTAAAATTCAGTTTTAAAAATTTTGTGGCAAGATTTTATAAATTTTTAGATTTATAATTTGAATTAAAATTTAAATTTGGATCTTTTAAGTTCGGATTTTTTTTTGAAATTTTTAAATTTTGTGAATTTTGGTAATTCTGATGATTTTGTAATTTTACAAATTTTGGAGATTTTAAAATAGTTTTGAAACTTTTTTGTGAAATTTCGACAATTTTATAATGTTTAAAATTTTTAAAATCATGAAAATTTTATAAATTATATATAAATATTTTGATATTTTACAATTTGGACATTTAAATTTGGAATTGTTAAAATATTGGAGTTTTTTAAATTTTGTGAATTTTATCAATTTTGAAAATTTGGGAGTCTTTAATTTTGCTAAATTCTGTAATTAAAATAAAAATTGTAATTTTGAATACTTTAAAGTTGGTTTAAAAATTTTGGGTAGGTATATATAATTTTTTTAAATTTTGTAAATTTTAAAACTTTTGAACATTTCGAGAATTTTATAAAATTAGATTATTTTAAAAATTTTGCAGATTTTGAATTTTTGAAGTATTTTGAAATTTTTGTAAATTATAAATATTTTGATAACTAGATATTTTAAAATTTTAACATTAAATGTAAATTTTGTAAATTTTGATAATTTTGTAGTTTTTTATAATATAATATTTATATAATATAAAAAACTCCAAAATTATCAAAATTTACAAATGTTAAAATTTTAAAATATGTAAAATTTTCAAAATATTCAAACATACCATTTTATAGAGTTTATAAAAATTTTAAAATTTAATTTTAAAATCTCCAAAATTACAAAATTTTCTAAACTTTAAAAATTATAAAAATTTCCAAAATCTTTAAATTCTAATTTTAAATCTAAAACTTAAAATATTCGAAATTTATAAAATCTTGAAAAATTTAAAATCTCCAAAATTTATATATATACATACATACATACATACATATACAATATATATTATATTGTATTAAATAATGACCAATTTTACTTTTTGCTATTTTTAGCACACAAATATAATTCTGTAAATTTTAATTTTTTTAAGAATAATTTTAATTATTAGAAATTTGAAAATTTTGGATATTTTAAAATTTTAATTTTTTAAGATATAGAATTAAAATTTGGAATTTTTAAATTTTTGTAAATCTCGGAGTTTTTTAAATTTTAGAATTTTGGAGTTCTTCAATTTTTTAAGATTTTATAGGTAAATTTTGAGTTTTAGATTTAAAATTTGAAAATTTTAAAAGTATAGAAAATTTTATATTTTTGAGATTTTAAAATTAAGTTTTGGTAATTTTGATAATTTAGTAAATTTTACAAATTTTGAAGATTTTAAAACTTTTGGATTGCATTTTTTTACATTGTGTAAATTTTAAAATTTTTAGAATTTCGTAAATTTTTAAAAAAATTATTATTCAGGAAATTTTATAATTTCAAGTTTTTTTAAATTTATAAAATTTTGAGTTTTAAATTTGGTAAAATATTTTAGGAAGCGGAATGTCAAAGATCGGCGATGGACATAAAATATTCCACAGACACGAAAATAGAAGACAACTCCAGGATGTTCAAGCTGCAGAAGGCCAACTTCGACCAGGAGATAAATACTGCCGTAAGCAAAAATAACAGCAATAATTAAAACAAACAAATTCTAACGAAAACATTATGTCGCATGCAGAAAGCCCAAGCCCAGTTGGCGTACGAACTGCAAGCGGCGAAGATTCGTCAGAAGATACGTAACGAGGAGATCCAGATCGACGTGGTGGAGAGGAAAAAGCAGATCGAAGTGGAAACGCAGGAGGTCATGAGGAAGGAACGCGAACTGAACGCCACCGTGCGGTTGCCTGCCGAAGCTGAAAGCTACAGGGTTCAAATGATCGCGGAGGGCAAGCGGTAAGTGTTTATTTGTCGTCAATGAAAAGTGAATTCGGAATTTTTAAAATTTTAAATATTTTTAACATTTTCAAAATTTTGGAGATTAATTTTTTTGAAATTTTAGATATACAAATCCGGATTTTTCAAAATTTTGATAATTTTAGAAATTTTAAAGATTTTTGTAAATTTAAAAATTAATCAAATTTTCGGAATTTTTAAAAATTCGGTACTTTTTTAACTTTTGGAGATTTAAAATTTTTCAAGATTTTATAAATTATGAATATTTTGATAATTTTAGATATTTGAAAATTTGTTAATTTTTGAAAATTTTGATTATTTTTATAATTTTGAAACTTTGGTAAACTTTGAAATTTTAGAAATTTTAATTTTAGAAAATTTGGGGAATTTTTAAATTTTAAAAATTTTAGATTGTTGAAACTATAAATTTTAAATATTGTGATAGTTTCTGATTTAAAATTTGAACATTTAATTTTGTAATTTAAAAATTTTTGTGAATTTCATAATTTTGGAAATTTTACAGATTTTAAAGTTTAGAAAATTTTGTAGTGGAGATTTCATTTTTTTCTTAATTTTGTGTTTAAATTTTTTGAAATTTTATAATTATAAATTTTGAATATTTTGATAATTTAGAATACTTTGAACATTTGAATATTTTAAATAATGGTAATTTTAATAATTTTGGAGTTTTTTTTTGTTTTAAATTTGGATGAATATTTCAAAATTTGAACATTTAAATATGGAATTTTTAAAAACGCAAATTTTAAATATTGGTAATTTTGAAAATTTTGGAGATTTTTTTTGTTTTAAATTTTTCAAGATATTATATTTATGAATTTAAAATTTTTGAATATTTTGATAATTTTGGATATTTCAAAATTTAAACTTTTAAATATAGAATTTAAAAAAAAAATGTAAAAGGAGTTTTTTAAATTTTGGAAAATTTTTGAAAATATCGATAATTTTAAAATTCATTATTTTAAAATTTTAACATTTAAATTTGGAATTCTTACATTTTTTTGTGAATTTCGTAAATTTTGAATATTTTGATAATTTTGGATATTTCCAAACTTCAACATTTAAATAAGGAATTTAAAAAAAATTGGTAATGGGGTTTTTAAAATTTTGGAAAATTTTTAATTTTTGTAATTTTTGAAAATATAGATAATTTTGAAATTTTGTATTTTAACATTTTGTATTAATTAAGAATTTTGAGAATAAACCTGTAAATTTTGAAGATTTTAAATGTTTTAAGAATTAGAATAAGAATTGGACATTTGAAAATGTTCGAGATTTTAAATTTTTCAAGATTTTATAAATTTTGGGTAGTTTTAATAAGTTTATAGTTTTTTTTTTAAATTTATCAAAGTTATCATCATTTTTTTAATATTTGAAAATTTTTTACATTTTTTTTTTAATTTTTAAAGATTTTATTTATAATTATGAATTTTATAAATTTTGAATATTTTGATAAATTTGGATATTTCAAAATTTGAATATTTAAATTTGGAATTTTTGAGCATTTTAAATACTGGTAATATTGATAATTTTCTATATTTTACAAATTTTGGATATTTTTATTGTTCTAAATTTTTCAAGATTATAATCATTATTTTATAAATTTTGAATATTTTGGATATTTCAAAATTTAAACATTTAAATATGGAATTAAAAAAAAGTTGTTAATGGAGTTTCCTATTTTTTTTTTTAAATTTTTTATTTTTGAAATTTTTTATAACATTTAAATTTGCAATTCTTAAATTTTTTTTTGTGAATTTTTGTAATCTTGATAATTTTCGTAAATTTTGAAAATTTTGTATTAAACCAATTTTACTTTTAGCACACAAAAAGATTTCTGTAAATTTTGATTGAGATTTTAAATTTTTTTCAAGATTTTATTAATTTTAGTTTTAGATTTATTTTTCAATTTTTGAGGATTTTAAATTTGTTTAAAATTTTGTAAATCTTAAAATAATTTTGAATTTTTTAAAATTTTGATAATATTTAAAATTTCGACTATTTAAGTTTCCCAAGATTTTTAAATATTGTATAATGACCAATTTTACTTTTCCTTACGTTTAGCACACAAACAGTAAAAAATGCACAAGCCGAGAGCGAAAAAATAAAAATGCTTGGTGTAGCCGAAGCCACTGCCATTTCAAGCATAGGCAAAGCCGATGCTGAACGCATGCGACAAAAAGCCGCCGTCTACAAGCAATACGGAGACGCCGCCATCATGTCCATAGTCCTCGAGGCCTTACCCAAGGTAAAAAAAAAAAAAAAAATTTTTTTCAGATAAAATTACCTCGACTTCTCTCCCTTACAGATTGCCGCAGAGGTGGCGGCTCCGCTGGCCAAGACCGACGAGATCGTCCTGATAGGCGGCTCTGACCACACCACCGCCGAAATATCCCGATTGGTCGGCCAGATCCCGCCGGCAGTTCAAGCACTGACCGGCGTTGACCTGTCTAAAGTGCTCGGGAAAATACCGGGCGCCACCACCAACAAACCCATGGCGGCTGCGCAGTAGAAAAAAAATCGGTTCGTATTGTCTATTTTTTGTTAAGTCGCTGGTTGATTTCCGTTTTCTACGTTTTTGTACGTCGCTGGCGGTGCGGTAGATCGAATGCACCGAAACGTTTGCTGTGGGTTTCCCCTGCGACTTATTTTTTATTTTATCCAACCTTCATTATTTAATTACACTGAAAATTCAGCAGCTGTAAGAAAGTTTTTAAATATTGTTTTATTAAATTATCTCGGTTGATTTTAAAAAATTAAATTATTTTTTGAGAATTTTACCAATTTATTAACGAAGTTGGCATAAAAATACGCGTTGATCAGTGTAATTTTTTATTTTTCTAGTCCAATTAACAAAATTTTCAATTTGTTCGTCGAAATCTCAAAATTTACATCTTCCCATGTTTTCTATATTTTGTAGAAAAATCCGTAAACTATCTTCTAAAATGTGCAATCTTGGACCTAAGCAATGTTTTTCTAAAGGAGTGAATTTACAGTACAATTTAATGTTGTTGCATTAAGTTGCAAAACATTTGTTCATGATTGTACAATCAACACATTTCATGCAAAAAAGTTACTAAAAGTGATTTTCCTGCAACAATTGTGTATAATTGCAGTTTTTTCGTAATCTCGATATTTGTTTTTGCCTTTCATTAAATATTTATGAAGGTTCTATTTTTTTTATTTTTGTTGTCTATTTTTTTAAGTCGCTGGTTGATTTCCATTTTCCACGTTTTTGTACGTCGCTGGCGGTGCGGTAGATCGAATGCACCGAAACGTTTGCTGTGGGTTTCCCCCGCGACTTATTTTTTATTTTATCCAACCTTCATTATTTAATTACACTGATTAACATTCAGCAGTTGTAAGAAAGTTTTTAAATATTGTTTTACTAAATAATCCCGGTTGATTTTCAAAAATTAAATAATTTTTACACACCACTACAGTTTTTGAGAATTTTACCAATTTATTAACGAAGTTAGCATAAAAATACGCGCTGATCAGTGTAACTTTTTATTTTTCTAGTCAAATCAACAAAATTTTTAATTTGTTCGTCGAAATCTCAAAATTTCCATTATTTTCCCAGGTTTTCTAAATTTTGTAGAAAAAGCCGTAAACTATCTTCTAAAATGTACACTCTTGGACCTAAGCTATGTTTTTCAAATTGAGTGAATTTTACAGTACAATTTAATGTCGTTGCATTAAGTTGCAAAACATTTGTTCATGATTGCACAATGCAAAAAACTTACTAACAGTGATTTTTCCTGCAACTATTGTATATAATTGCAATTTTTATCGTAATCTCGATATTTGTTTTTGCCTTTCATTAAATATTTATGAAGGTTCTATTTTTTTGTATTTTGTTGTCTATTTTTTTAGTCGCTGGTTGATTTCTATTTTCTACGGTTTCGTACTTCGCTGGTGGTGCTGTAGATCGAATGCACCGAAACGTTTGCTGTGGGTTTCCCCCGCGACTTATTTTTTATTTTATCCAACCTTCATTATTTAATTACACTGAAAATTCAGCAGCTGTAAGAAAGTTTTTAAATATTGTTTTATTAAATTATCTCGGTTGATTTTAAAAAATTAAATTATTTTTTGAGAATTTTACCAATTTATTAACGAAGTTGGCATAAAAATACGCGTTGATCAGTGTAATTTTTTATTTTTCTAGTCCAATTAACAAAATTTTCAATTTGTTCGTCGAAATCTCAAAATTTACATCATTTTCCCATGTTTTCTATATTTTGTAGAAAAATCCGTAAACTATCTTCTAAAATGTGCAATCTTGGACCTAAGCAATGTTTTTCTAAAGGAGTGAATTTACAGTACAATTTAATGTTGTTGCATTAAGTTGCAAAACATTTGTTCATGATTGTACAATCAACACATTTCATGCAAAAAAGTTACTAAAAGTGATTTTCCTGCAACAATTGTGTATAATTGCAGTTTTTTCGTAATCTCGATATTTGTTTTTGCCTCTCATTAAATATTTATGAAGGTTATATTTTTTTGTATTTTGTTGTCTATTTTTTGAAGTCGCTGGTTGGTTTCTATTTTCCACGGTTTCGTACGTCGCTGGCGGTGCGGTAGATCGAATGCACCGAAACGTTTGCTGTGGGTTTCCCCTGCGACTTATTTTTTATTTTATCCAACCTTCATTATTTAATTACACTGATTAACATTCGGCAGTTGTAAGAAAGTTTTTAAATATTGTTTTATTAAATAATCCCGGTTGATTTTCAAAAATTAAATCATTTTTACACACCACTACAGTTTTTGAGAATTTCACCAATTTATTAACAAAGTTAGCATAAAAATACGCGCTGATCAGTGTAATTTTTTATTTTTCTAGTTCAATTAACAACATTTTTAATTTGTTCGTCGAAATCTCAAAATTTCCATTATTTTCCCAGATTTTCTAAATTTTGTAGAAAAAGCCGTAAACTATCTTCTAAAATGTACAATCTTGGACCTAAGCAATGTTTTTCTCAAGGAGTGAATTTACAGTACATTTTAATGTTGTTGCATTAAGTTGCAAAACATTTGTTCATGATTGTACAATCAACATATTTTATGCAAAAAACTTACTAACAGTGATTTTTCCTGCAACTATTTTACATAATTGCAATTTTTATCGTAATCGCGATATTTATTTTTGCCTTTTATTAAATATTTATGAAGGTTCTACTTTTTTGTATTTTATTGTCTATTTTTTTAGTCGCTGGTTGATTTCTATTTTCCACGTTTTTGTACGTCGCTGGCGGTGCGGTAGATCGAATGCACCGAAACGTTTGTTGTGGGTTTCCCCTGCGACTTATTTTTTATTTTATCCAACCTTCATTATTTAATCACACTGATTAACATTCAGCAGTTGTAAAAAAGTTTTTAAATATTGTTTTATTAAATTATCCCGGTTGATTTTCAAAAATTAAATAATTTTTACACACCACTACAGTTTTTGAGAATTTTACCAATTTATTAACAAAGTTAATCAGTGTAATTTTTTATTTTTCTAGTCCAATTAACAAAAATTTTAATTTGTTCGTCGAAATCTCAAAATTTCCATTATTTTCTCAGGTTTTCTAAATTTTGTAGAAAAAGCCGTAAACTATCTTCTAAAATGTGCAATCTTGGACCTAAGCAATGTTTTTCAAAATGAGTGAATTTTACAGTACAATTTAATGTTGTTGCTAAACATTTGTTCACGATTGTACATCAATTATATTTAATAAAAAAGTTACTATAGTTTTTTAGTAACTTTTGAAACCAATTTGCTTTTACTGTACTTTTAAATTTAATATGTAATAAAATCAGTTTTGAACTGTGAAAAGTGTTCATTAGTTCGCTTTACAAAATAATTTGTAGCATTTATATATACATAGGTATAAAGATATTTTTGTTATTTTATTATTTAGTTTTGGAACTTTTCTACTTTTCGTAGATGAAGAACAATCAACGATCAAAAAATGTAGTTTTTAATAAGAAAAAAATTACAAAGTACTTTTTGAGAATAAACAAACTAAAGCGGAAAGGTTCTAAACACCCCTTTTTATTGATTTTAATGTTGTGATCGTGTTTTTAAGCAAAATTTAATAATTTTATTAAAAATTAAAGTATTAATCCTAAATGTGCGTACCTTATAAATAAAGAGTAAATTCTGGCCTTACAAATATAAGCAACACGATCTTAACATATTGTATATTGAAATTTAAAAAAATTGATGTATTTTTATACTCCCAAACCCTTAATAATTTGTACTTTTAAGTAGGGAATAATTTTATTTTCCTCTTTGAGTATGTGTTCAAAAATTATTATTTTTCTATAACCAGTAAGGTGCCTAAAAGTGCGCACTTCGAGTTGCGCACTATTAGACGCCACGTGCCATTAAAAATACATTAAAATAATTTTTGAACGTACGACATCTACAATTTAGTGAATTCGATATTTTCGTGTTGGTCATGCCTTTTAATGATAATAAATACTGCCTATTTGATGTGAAACTCTTTATTTTCTATTTTTTAAAAGCGCATGACTGATTTCTTCTCTTCTAGCACTAGATGTGAATTATTCTTTTCATATTATTGTCCACCATTTTTTGTGTGAATATTGATATTTTAATAAATGGTATTATGAAAAAAAGTATTTTTTTTAAACTTCTATTTGTTTGAATGTAGGTAGGCAATCCAGATTACAATTTTTAAGAAATTACCAGGATCTGGTATTTTTCAGAAATCTGGCAACATTGCATTGTATCAGGAGCAATACCTCCTCGCTTTTCTGCGATCCTAATACAAAATTCGAAAATCGCAAAATTTTAAGAAATAGTTGAAATTTTTAAGAAATTTTAAAAAAGTACCAGGATCTGGGATTTTTCGGAAATCTGGCAACATCGCATTGTATCAGGAGTATATCTCCTCGCTTTTCTGCGATCCTAATACAAATTCGAAAAATTTCAAAATTTTAATAAATGGTTTAAATTTTTAAGCAATTTTAAAAAAGTACCAGGATCTGGGATTTTTCGGAAATCTGGCAACATCGCATTGTATCAGGAGTATACCTCCTCGCTTTTCTGCGATCCTAATACAAATTCGAAAAATTTCAAAATTTTAATAAATGGTTTAAATTTTTAAGCAATTTTAAAAAAGTACCAGGATCTGGGATTTTTCGGAAATCTGGCAACATCGCATTGTATCAGGAGTACACCTCCTCGCTTTTCTGCGATCCTAATACAAATTCGAAAATTTCAAAATTTTAATAAATGGTTTAAATTTTTACGAAATTACCACAATCCGAATTTTGTATCAGGATCGCAGAAAAGCGAGGAGGTGTACTCCTGATACAATGCGATGTTGCCAGATTTCCAAAAAATCCCAGATTCTGGTACTTTTTTAAAATTTCTTAAAAATTTAAACCATTTATTAAAATTTTGAAATTTTCGAATTTTTATTAGGATCGCAGAAACGCGAGGAGGTATACTCCTGATACAATGCGATGTTGCCAGATTTCCAAAAAATCCCAGATTCTGGTACTTTTTTAAAATTTCTTAAAAATTTAAACCATTTATTAAAATTTTGAAATTTTCGATTTTGTATTAGGATCGCAGAAAAGCGAGGAGGTATACTCCTGATACAATGCGATGTTGCCAGATTTCCGAAAAATCCCAGATTCTGGGTACTTTTTAAAAATGTCTTCAAAATTTGAACCACTTCTTAAAATTTTGAAATTTTCGAATTTGTATTAGGATCGCAGACACGCGAGGAGGTATACTCCTGATACAATGCAATGTTGCCAGATTGTGCAAAATATCGCAGATCGAGGGATATTCTGCACAATCCGGCAACGTCGCTTTTCTGCGATCCTGATACAATCTTAAATTTGTTCAAATTTTGGTGTGCAAAATTTAGGATTTTATTAATTCTTTATCTGAGGAAAAAGATCTTAAAACCTTATTAATTAATTATGTGGAAGGATTTTTGTAAGAAAACACTTAAATATATCTTATTTTTTTATTTTGTACATTATCAACAAAAAAATAAACAATCTTATGGTAAAAATTCACAATTTCAGTTATAATTTATACAGACCGAATACTAATTACAGAAAATCTGTAAAGGTTAAGAAAATCAATATCAAAAAAATGCGCAACTAGTTAAAAAATGTGCTTACACAATTTTACACAAGCAAATAATTTCTCTAAGTAAATTGGAAAATTGGTTGTACTATACTATATGTATATAGTACATTCACAAATATGTACAATTAAATGACAGGTTGGTGTTTTGTGTTGACATTTCCGGACGCCCTGCATTTCTTTATCGATTTACATGTAACAAAGATTTCCCGACACTACATTTTTAAATGGCCGAAATAGACTATTTTTATTTGTAAACGTGATGCGACTTAAAAAACTGCAATAAATTGTAAAATCATAAATATAAATAAAAAGTACAGCCTTATCCGAAAGAAAAAAAAATTATGAAACCTAACCTAGATTTTTTGTGTGTATACCTATGCTAATCTCACAATTTAGTTTGAGAGTTGATGGCGTCATTCTTCTTCAGAAAAGTCTCCACGTAATCTTTTATTTCGATTTCATCTAAAAAAATATATAAATTTATTTAATAAACATTTTATGTGAGTGAGTATTAAGTTTTGAAAAAATTTAACACCGTTGGTTAAAAACTTTGTTTCTTAACACGTTTATAGGAAAGATTTGTTAAAGTACTAAAGGAACATAAAAAAGTACTAAAAGTGTTAAAAAGTGTCTTGAAACTATTTAAAATATTCTAAAATTGTTTAAAAGTATCCTGAACCTTGGTTAAAAATATTTTTTTTTAAATTGACACTGTATCTTAAAAAGTAACTGTTTCTAGGAACTTTTATTTCCTAAAAGTACTAAAGAAACATAAAAAAGTACTCAAAGTGTTAAAGAAGTACTAAAAAAGTGCTAATAGTACCTTAAAACGGTTTAAAATATTTTAAAATTGTTTAAAAGTATCCTGAATTTGGGTTAAAAATATTTTTTTTAAATTAACACTTGGTATCTTAAAAATATATTTTTTTAAATAACACTCCGTATCTTAAAAGTACTTAACTGTTTCTAGACACTTTTATGGAAAATATTTGTTAAAGTACTAAAGAAAAATTAAAAAAAACTAAAAGTGTTAAATAAGTACTAAAAGGTGCTAAAAGTACTTAACATGTATCAACAAAGTACTAAAGAAACATACAGAAGTACTAAAAGTATTAAAGTACTAAAAGAGTGCTAAAAGTAGGTAGGTATTTAAAATGACTTGAAATGATACCATAAATTTTTTTTTTTTAAATTGTTACTCTGTAACTTAAAAAGGCACTTTTATGGAAAATATTTGTTAAAGTACTAAAGTAACATCAAAAAGTGCTAAAAGTGGGTACTTGAAATTACTTAAAAGAATACCATAAAATGTTATTAATAAAAATATTATAAAATACCTTTCTAGCTTGTCTAAAAATTCATAAACTGATAAAAATATTCTAAAATTGTTTAAAAGAATCCTAAATCTGGGTTAAAAATATTTTTTCAAAAGTGACACTATGTATATTAAAAAAGGAACTGTTTCTAGACACTTTTATGGAAAATAAAGAAACATAAAAGTGTACCTACTAAAAAAGTGCTAAAATTGTTTAAAAGTATCCTGAATCTGGGTTAAAAATATATTTTTTAAATTAACACTTGGTATCTTAAAAATATATTTTTTTAAATAACACTCTGTATCTTAAAAGTACTTAACTGTTTGTAGACACTTTTATGGAAAATATTTGTTAAATTACTAAAGAAACATAAAATGGGAACTAAAAGTGTTAAATAAGTACTAAAAGGTGCTAAAAGTACTTAATATGTACCAACAAAGTACTAAAGAAACATACAGAAGTACTAAAAGTATTAAAGTACTAAAAGAGTGCTAAAAGTAGGTAGGTATTTAAAATTACTTGAAATGATACCATAAAATTTTATTTATAAAATTAATTAATTGTTTAAAAGTCTCCTAAATCTGGGTTAAAAATATTTTTTTTAAATTGTCACTCTGTATCTTAAAAAGTAACTGTTTCTAGGCACTTTTATGGAAAATATTTGTTAAAGTACTAAAGTAACATCAAAAAGTACTAAAAGTGGGTACTTGAAATTACTTAAAAGAATACCATAAAATGTTATTAATAAAAATATTATAAAATACCTTTCTAGCCTATCTAAAAATTCATAAACTGTTAAAAATATTCTAAAATTGTTTAAAAGAATCCTAATTCTGGGTTAACAATATTTTTTCAAAATTGACACTCTGTATCTTAAAAAAGAACTGTTTCTAGGCACTTTTATGAAAAATAAAGGAACATAAAAAGGTAAAGAAGCATAAAAAAGTACTAAAAAGGTGCAAAAAGTACTTAACATGTACCAATAAAGTACCTAACTGTTTTTAAACACTTTTATGTAAAATATTTGTTAAAGTACGAATGAAACATAAAAAAAGTACTAAAAGTATTAAAGTACTAAAAGAGTGCTAAAAGTAGGTACTTAAAATTACTTGAAAGGATACCATAAAATTTGATTTATAAAATTTAAAAAAAAAATTGTTGTATTTAAAATGTCTTAAAACTGTTTAAAATATTCTGAAATTGTTAAAAAATTATCCTAAATCTGGGTTAAAAATATTTTGTTTTAATTGACAAAGTGTATTTTAAAAAAGTAACTGTTTCTAGGCACTTTTATGGAAAATATTTGTTAAAGTATTAAAGAAACATAAAAAAGTGCTAAAAGGATACCATAAAATTTTATTAACCAAGTATTAAAAAATACCTTTCTAGCCTATGTAAAAATTCATAAACTGTTAAAAATATTCTAAAATTGTTTAAAAGTATTCTAAATCTGGGTTAAAATATTTTTTTTTAATTAATACTCTGTTCTTAAAAGTACTAAATGTGTTAAAGAAGTACTAAAAAAGTGCTAAAAGTAGGTACTTAAAATTACTTGAAAAATTAAAATGTTAAAAAATAAATTTCTAGCCTATATAAAATTTCTTAACTAAAATGTCTTGAAACAGTTTTGAAATTGTTTTAAAATATTTTTAAAAATTTAACTCTGTATCTTAAAGATTAACTTTCTAAACAAGGTCTATGGGAAATATTTGTTAAAGTACCAAAAAAGTACTAAAAGTACTTCAAAATTACCTTCCTAGCCTATCTAAAATGTCTTTTGAAATGTGCAAATCCAGAAAAATATTAAGTACTAAAAGAGTACTTCTGTTACTAAAAAGTACCAGAAGTACTAAAAAAATAAATTATTAATCAATTTTTCTTACTTTTGTCAGCCAAGGCATGGGATATACTTCGAGCCATGCTTTTAAAAACGTCCCGTGACTCGAACCGCTTTTCCACGTAAGCAGGAGTCAGAAGTTTAACCACTAGAGTCCCGATCTCCACTTTCTGCAGCCGTTTAGGTTTTCTCAACGTTTGAGGTCTCTCCGACTCGCCGGCACCGGGTCTGCTTTGATTTTTGTCGTTAGTAGTCCCGTTTTTTTTAGGCGAAACCTTCTCCGCAACTTTTTCCTCCGACCTCACCCGTTTGCAATCTTCCTCGCGATCGTCACTACTGTTCCTGCGTTTCGTGTCGTGTTTTTTAAAGCTCCTCGTCACGTTCACCTCCTCGAACCGCTTATCGTCCTCCGTACTCAACTTAAACGAACGAAATCCCTCGGATTTTACACTTTTTACACTCTGGCTGTCGTCCGAGTCCTCCCCGAACAGATCCTTGAGGTTCTTGTCCTTTTTCGCGCTCATTTCGTCACTTGTTTCACCGTCGTCGCTGACCGTCAACTGTTCTTCATCGGCCCGCTCGATTTTCGCTTTCAAGCGGTTCTCCAGCGCTTGCTTGGCGGTCTGGAAACCGTTCAGTTTTTTCTGCTTCTTGAGGTTCGCGAACAGGTCGCTCAACGTGTCGTGCTTGTCCGGCGCTGCCTCCAGTTCCACGATCTTCTCGTACACCTCATTTTGCGCCGTGCTCTTCTTTACGCTGGAAATCTAGGGAAATCTTGTTTAGCATACCTAACCTAAAAAAATGCACTTTGCCCCAACACCCATTAAAGCTCGAATACTGGAGATTATCACTGTTTAAATTTTTAATTGATGCTTTGTTTTCGCAATTTAAGCGACTTGTTCGGTAAATATTTGCCAGGAATCGAAAAAAATAGAAAAAATGACGTTCGCGTGAATTTGGCGTCGTTTTGTTGGCAGCACGTGCGTTTAGACCAGCGCGGAAGAAGAAGAAGAAGAGATACGCAGTATTGCCAACATCAGTGATATTTCTCCATTTAAGCCTGATTTATAGATTGCCTCCCGTATGGAAATCTATAAATGGCACTACAATTTTCGTATTGTTCATCTTCTACGGGAGGAAGGAAGGCAATCTATAATTCAGGCTTTACGGATAAAATTTAAAAAAACCTTATGAGAGATAATGCTCATTATTTCTCGTATAATAATATACCAATAATAAACGAGTTTAATTATGCACGATCGGAGCTTGCGGAGCGAGTTTTTAATGAATGAGAAGTTTATAAAACGAATGCATACTTTACCTTTAGCTTTATTATAAATTGGCGAAAAGTGAGGTTAAATCCGTTGACAGTTGTCAAACGTCAAATTTAACAAATAAACTTCTCAAGACACTCGTTCATCCAATCCGACATCTGTCAAAAGGTTCTAACCTTACTTTTTCACTAGTAAATGTAGGAGGAGATAATGGTATATTATGTAACTAGTTTCGTAAACGTCATTTTTCTACTCCTATTAAATCATTTGTTTTTTTCGTATTTGATGAAATAGTATATTACACTACAAGGGCAGAAAGTGTGAGATTCCTGCACTGCGCGCCATGATGCCCGAGGCGAAGCCAAGGGCATCATGGCACGCAGTTCAGGGCTCTCACACTTTCTGCCCGTGTAGTGTATACTATTTTTCTTGCTACCCCGCAGAAAATACGGGAAAAAATTAAATGTATATAAAAAAAACTTGTGTCAAAATTAAAATCTGACGTTTAATTTGACGTTTACATTCAAAATCAATCAAACTGTAGCGTTGTCATGGTAATTCAGCGGTGCCAATACAGTAAAAATAAAAGGTTGTATTTTAATTAACAAATTACTACTTTATAACAAATAAAAGTACCATTAAACACTTAAAACAAGATAAAAAGTAAAAAAGTAAAAACATAAATTGTTTATTTGTTGTTATAATTGCAAAATTATGGTTTAAAACTGTCATATTTTTGTGTTTCTCATGTTGGCAGTACGAAATTTGAATGTTAAGCACACGACTAAAAAATTTTTACTCCCGCTATTATTATGTTGTATGTATCTTGCGCTATTAGAGTGTGCGCGTATAGCTTGACCAATGCAAGAAACGTAAACTTTCTGCCGTGAAATCGGGGACGAAACAACGTATTTTGAGTCGAGGTAGTAAGAAATAGTAGATTATGTTATAAGGAGTAGAAGTGACTCTTTTTGTGGTGAGTACATAGATTGACGGCCGAAGCGTAGCTGAGGCAGGCAACTGTACGAAGCACAAAAAGAGCTTCTACTCCAAATAACATATACAATTTTTTTTTCAAGGGCATAATATAAATAGGATAAGCAATAGAATTATTTTTTTACTCATAACTCGTGTGGGATAAAATTTTGGCTAAAAGCATTAGAAATTATTGATAAAAACTAAAAAAACTAATAAACCTTACTTAGGTACAATGCCGATAAATATCCGAAATTAAAACTAAACACTGCTCTGTCAAAATGCTGCGCTTGAATTAATTTTGACGTACTGACATTTGTTTGAAGTTTCGACATTGGCGACTCGTCTATCATCATAATATTATACTAATAAACTAGTTTTTCTTTATTTCGTTCAATTAAAATTTAATAAATAATCACTAAATATTCCGTGCGATTATAATTAATATAATTAATACATCGTGATTGCTTTGTATGAAATGCTAAATTAATTTTATTATTTGACGTTTATTGAGTCACCTATGGATTTACTTCTATCCCTAGGCTTTTTTGAGTTTTTTGTCTGCCGCTAATGAAAAAGACGCACTTCAACTATCTCTATACATGCATATAAGGTTGTATATCATGGCCGCTTGAAAAAAAAAGTTAATTTTCGCGTTTAAAGCTGAAAAAATCAAAGTGAAGTTGGCGCATAAACAAAAATTCAGTCGTACCAACCTAAAGATAATTAAAAAAGTTGACTTTCGCGTTTCCAAAAATTCTTATTTTAACTGGCAACTTTTGGAGGTTAACATTTGACAGATGTCAGATTATATTTATTTATTTTTAAAAATCATTTAATTAACTACTCATTGAAGTAAAAAAAGTATATTATTACACTCGAGATTATGCGCATATATACTATTAAAACACGAGTTTAATTATGCACGAAGTTTATAAAACGAATGCATACTTTACCTTTAGCTTTATCAAAAATTGCTGAAAAGTGAGGTTAAATCCTTTGACAGTTGTCAGATGTAAAATTTAACAAATAAAATTCGCTTTAAAACTTGTTCTATGAACTTCTCAAGACACTCGTTCATATTAAACACTCGCTCGCAAGCTAATAAAACTCGACGACGTCGTATCGGAAAAAAGTAAGGTTAAATCGTTTTGACAGATGTCAGATCGGTCGAAAGTAAGGTTAAAAACTCTTGACAGATGTAATTAGTTCATTTAAGAACCAATGTCATAAGACGTCGTTTTTTCGCACGAGGAAATTTCCAAAACTAGCGACGACGGAGGAGTGCGAAAAACGTCAATGTAACCTCACTTTCCCAATCTGACATCTGTCAAAAAGTTTTAAGCTTGCTTATCTGGAACAAAAAGGCGTAAAATGGAATTGAGACTTACCAATTTGGCAACATTTTGTCTGTACATCGTCATCGTAGTGTTGGTGGTAAAAATTGAGTACTCCAAGTCCACAGAGCAGTCTTCGATGTGTTTTTTCTGGAAGATTGGCTCCTTCTCGCATTCCTGATAGTTCGCATAGAGAACCTCCAGGATTTTGTTAACGTACTGCTCCCTAAACACCACTGTGAGCCCCTTTATCTTCGTGGATGTCGAAGCGGCCGCTTTAATCCGAGAATTTTTGGCGTACAATTTTTCTATGGTCGTCTGAGAAACTTCCTAAAATTGGTTTGTGTCGTTTTTTGTTTCAGATATAAAAAAAGCTACTATAACAATTTTTGTATTAATAAAACTTCACCTGAGAATTGATTTGTTCTATCTCCCAAAATTTAAAGAGGAACAAATAACAGTTTAAAGTTTAATTTATATACAAATGAAATTTTAAAAAGCTGTTTTTCTGTGTTTTGGGAGATTCTATCTCTATCTAGCTGTTTAAAGTTTCATTTGTATATAAATTAAATTTTAAATTGCTATTTTTTTAAGTTTTGGGAGATAGAACAAACCAATTCTCAGGTTACGAAAATATAGCAAAATAACTACCTGTGGATTTCGCCTCAAAGCGAATTGCTTTTTGATCAAGTCTGCCGCTTCTTTTTTGGCGGTTTCTTCCCTTTGAAATTCGCCCCATTCGCCAGAATTTGAGTTGTCGTCGTCAAAATACCCTTTGGCATCGCTAAAATATTCCGAATACCTTGGGCATAAAAAAATTACATTTTTTTTAACTCACTTTTTGATTCCCTCCCTGCCCCCGCCGTACAAATCCGAGCAGTCGGCCACGACATTGCTCGGCCTACTGTTGAACTGTATACTTTTCGTCAAAAAATTTTCCGACATTTTTTGCACGGCCGTTTTGTCCACACAAAAGTCGCACATTTTTTTGCAATCCTCCATGGATTCCCCGAAATGCGTGCTAAATAATTTGTGCCTACACTCGCTGAAATAATAAAAAAATTCAAAAATCTATAGGTGATTCGCAAACTAAAAAAGATTGGGATTTTTTATTCTCCCCATATCTCGGTTGTTAGCGGCGATAGAGACCTACAACTTGGTACAGAGTTGCACTAACTAATTAACAACATCGGCCTAAAATTTTACGTCTGCAAAAACAACGCTTCGCAAGATATAAGCGAAACAAAAAAATCCCGCCCTTTTTCGCTTCGCGAACGCACTATACCAACAACAAAAAATTCTTACGTCGGATTTTCGCAAAACGCCGCGATTTTGTTGAACCCCTTGATGGCGTTTTCCGTTTTAATTCGCCTTGCCTCGTTTTCTCTCGCCTTTCCGAGATCGTGGGCCAGATGGAACTCCACCGCCTTCTTGTCGGATCGGTTGTAGTAAATCCGACACTTGGATGGTTTTCCGTCGCGGCCGGCCCTGCCCGACTCCTGGTAGTAGGAGGCCGGGTCCTTGGGCACGCCCCAGTGCACCACGAACCTGGGAATTACCGAGATTTGACAGAGTAGGTCGAATGTGCCGTTTTTGTTTGTCAACGGTTGGGAATTATAGAGATTTGAAATAGTAGGTCGAAAGTACTGTTTTTGTTTTTCAATATTTGTCAAGTTTGAAAATTAAAGAGATTTAAAAGAGTAGGTTGAATGTACCGTTTTTGTTTTTCAATGTCAAGTTTTGGAACACAATAGGTCGAATATATCGTTTTTGTTTTTTAAATAATGTCAAGTTTGGGCATTACAGACATTTAAAAGAGAATTAATGTCAAGTTTTGGAATTACAAAGATTTGACAAAGTAGGTCTAATGTATCGGTTTTGTCTTTCAATAATTGTTAAATTTGGAAATTACAGGGATTTATAAGATTAGGCCGAATGTACCATTTTTGCCAAGTTTGGGAATTATAGAGATTTGAAAGAGTAGGTCGAATATACTGTTTTTGTTTTTCAATATATGTCCAGTTTGGAAATTACAGAGATTAGTAGGTCAAGTGCACCGTTTAAGTTTTTTAAGTTAGGAGGAAGTAGGAATTATAGACATTTAAAGAAATAGGTCTGCATGTCAAAGCTTTGACACAGTAGGTCAAATATATATCAATTTTAGAAATTACATAAATTTAGGAATTATAGACATTAAAAAGAGTTGGTCGAATGTACAGTTTTTCAATATATGTCAAGTTTTGGAATTACAAAGATTTGCCAGAGTAGGTCGAATGTACCGGTTTTGTTTGTCAATAAATGTCAAGTTTGGGAATTTGACACAGTAGGTCTAATGTATCGGTTTAGTTTTTCAATAATTTTTAAAATTTTGAAATTACAGAGATTAAGTGAGTAAGTCAAGTGCACCGTTTTTTGTTTTTTAATTAACGTCAAGTTTTTTAATATGAGTACGTTGAATGTACCGTTTTTAAAAGAGTAGATAAAATGTACCGTTTTTGTTTTCCAAAAAAAAATGTCAAGTTTGGGAACTACAAAGATATATCTAATACGGTAGGTCGAATATACCGTTTTTGTTTTTCATTAAATGTCAAGTTTGGGAATTTGTCACCGTAGATCAAATGTATCGGTTTTGGATGGATGTAACGGTGACAATTTCCCAAACTTAATATTTATTGAAAAGCAAAAACGGTACATTCGACCTACTGTGTCAAACCACATTAATTTCCAAACAAAAACGGTACATTCGACCTACTCTTTTAAATCTCTGTAATTTTCAAACTTGACATTTAATGAAAGACAAAAACGGTATATTCGACCTACGCGTAGGTCGAATGTACCGTTATGTTTTTTCAATAAATATCAAGTTTTATAAATTACAGATTTCTAGAAGTAGTTCAAATGAACCGCTTTATTTTTTTCAGTTAAAAAACTTGTTACAAATTAAACAAAAATGATTTTTATCAAAACTTTTCATGCCTGAATTTTCAGAACACGTCCCTCTTAATCCAGGAACCAAAAATTTTCAAAGCAAATTTTCTTAAAAAACGGTTGGTTTTAGACTTTTCAAACAAGAGAACTTTTTTTTGTAGAATTAAATAAAAAATCATAAAATGTAACCAAATACCTAATAACTCGAACGCTTCTTACCTAACAGATCCTTTATCAACCCCCATACCAAAACTGATGGTGGCGCAAATAACCGGTATATCTCCATCGAACCATTTATCCTGATACTCCAGCCTGTCTTTATTCCTCAAACCGGCATGATAACACAACGCCTTCACCCCCATTTTCTTCAACTTTTCCGACACGATCTCCGTCTGCTCCCTCGTCCTGCAAATAGGGTTTTGCTTGTACTTGAAATTTCACTTGAAATTTTCATGACATTTATGAAATTTATTAAAATTTCCTAAATTTCTGAAATTTCATGAAATTTATGAAATTTATTGAAACTTTCACTAAATTGCAATCACTTTAAGTGTAATATATTAATATTGAAATAAGCCCACTCGGGGACCATGGCAAATTGCCTCTCTTACCTCCTACCCCTCTGTGAGCCCCAGCACAAATAATATAAATAGTAAATACCTATGTTTACCACAAATTTCTTGAGATTTCCTTTTAAAATATTTTTAAAATTACTAAAACTAAGAGAGATATAGCACTTTTTGGTAAGCTAATGAGATTGTGCCACTTTCATTGTTTTATATTTATATATATTTATTATTTTTATATATTTTACTGAAATTTTACGAAAATTCAAGAAACTTCATCAAAATTTTATGAGCCAAAGGCATTTTTTATCCGTTTTCCGATGCAATTATAGCAAAAGTAAAAGTTTAAATTAAACATGACTTTAAAAAAAATTTAAAGTCTGAATTAATTTACAAATTAAATTGGTAACTTAATTAAATTATTTAAATTAATTTATGCATATAAGTAACAGTAATTACTTATAGTGTATTCAAATCCAAGCCGAACTAAACAAAAACGCCCAGACGCTTGATAACTCGTTCTTATTGGTCGATTCGGAATCTGTTGTAAATTATTATTAAAGGTCCCAGGGGAGGCCGCATGTGAAATTTATGCGAAATTTTCAGTAAATTGCGAAACTTTCAATGAAATTTCTGAAACTTTCACAGGCAATGTTGAAATTTTCGGATTGAAAATTTCATTTGAAATTTTTAAAAATTTCACTTTTCCAACTAAATGAAATATTTCAAGTTTGAAACTTTCAAAGTTGAAATTTTCATTTGAAAATTTCAACTGTCCCAACCCTACCTGCAATAAATGATCCCGCAGGACTTTTTCTCCTTCGGCAGGGAAATCTCCTCCTCCTCCGCAAGGCAGTCCTGTATAAAGTCCTTGAGGTGCTGATAGGGGTTTTCGATGATGTTCTGGTAGACGACGTCGTAGAACAAATTGTGCCGAAAACATGACGATTTATATTTCTTGTGGTCTTTCGATAGACGCAAGCTCGAGACGATGTCTTTTGTTACCTCGGCGCCTGCGGTGGCTGTGAGGGCTATGTAGGGCACCGCACAATCGTCCCTTAGGGCCCCCAATTTGAGGTACTCGGGTCGAAAATCGTGACCCCATTGGCTCACGCAATGGGCCTCGTCTACAACTATGTAAGCTAGCTTGTCGAATTTTACCAAGTGGTAAAAGAGGTCCTATAAATTTTATTGATTTATTTATGTAAAACGAAATAATAATACTGCCCTGCTAAGCAAGAAGGTCGTATCTGACATTTTTTCATAAATGGAACTGTCATATCCAAATCAGAGATTGGGCATTTCTGCATATTTTGCACTAACCCAGAATTCTTTATCTCTATTAGTTTTGTCCTAACTACAAAAAGTTACAATTATTCCAAATTATTCTTGCTTAGCACGGCAGAATAGTTCTTTATGTATCAAGGCAGTAAAGTCGTATTTTTAATATTATTATATTATTGATGATGAAATCAAATGTTACTTGAATGTAGTGTTAAAACATACAGGGTTTTACATTTATAATAAAAACGTTATTATTGTTTGAAGTTTGGCTAATTTCAAATGGTTTTTTCAAGCTATTTGTTGAAAAATCTTTAAAAAACTAAATTATTAAAACAATGTTTTAATATTCCAAAAATTCCAACCCTATGTCAGCAAACATAATAACAAAAAAATTAGAGGCTATTCTTGATTGACGTGCATTTAGCAAAAATTTAACGAAAAAATTAATATCTTTTAACTTTTGACTTTAGGTATGGTCTAAATCAAATTGTGTATGCTATTAAAATTTCAAATCCATATCGTTTGCGTTTCTCCAGAAAAACCCTATATAGCATTGAATTAAAAATAAAAAAATGCAAAATAACTAATTACAAAAAAGCGAAAAACAACTGAATAAAAAATATACATATATCTAAATAGCCGATCGCAACATAAAAAATAAAGTCTTTATGCTAATTTATTTATTGGGTAAATATTACTCTCCTCAGCTTGGAATTAAAATTGAAGCTTGCTATCAAGTAAAAAATAAATTGAAGCTTGGTTGTGAATCAAAAAAAAAAAATAAAGTAGGTTATAATTTCTAACTTGCTGACACTGTCTATAATTATTATTTAGTTTATTTATTTTAATAAATTAATGTTTTAAGTTTTTAGTACACTTATAAATTAAAATGCAATCTGTCAACTTATAAAATGAACTGTCATATTATCTTTTATGCTTCCAGTGGTAGGTTACCCTAGAGAAAAGTCTATGATGCCTATTATGATCAAAATTAGTAAACTTGAAAAAAATTTAAATTTATAAATAATATTAATATTTAAGAATTGTATGTAATATGTAATACATTTAATGTATAATTTATCTTATAAAACTAGATAAAAGAATAAATACTTTGTAAAACACGTTAGTATTATACATTTAATGTATTTAATGTATAATTTATCTTAAAAAACTATATAAAAGAATATATACTTTGTAAAACACGTTAGTATTATGCCCTTTGAAGGCCTAACTTAAAAATGACGTCTCTTGTAGAAACATAATTTGCATGTAGAAGTTTATATATCAAATAATAGTTAATTATCAGTACTTTAACGAGATATACTCAAAATTATAAAACAACGTTGCTTCTTCGACTTTTTAACCCTTAAAAAATGGTAAAATTTTAAATTAAATTGGCCCCAGTGCCCCCTGCATGTTAAAATCTAAAAAAAATACGTGGATTTATTGCCATTAATAAGGTCTACATTTTAACTTAATTTCAAATCAATACGTTTTTAAATAAAAATGTTATTACAAAATATCGAAATTTCTCTATTTTTAACACAGTAGAGTGACTTAAGGCCTGAAAAACACAGCAGTCAATGGATGAATTTTTTTTTGAAAAAAATGCACCATTTAGATGTAGAAACAAGGTTAAACAAATATATTCAATTCTGGCATCACTTGCAAACAAATGTCTCAAGTTAACCTAAAAAAACAACGTACCTTAAATGTGGAAGTCTTGGTCTGTTCGGGGCACACATAAAGCAACTTGGTGTTTGGAGACACGGATTTTAAATCAGCCAATAAGGCATTTCTCTCCGCCACAACCGTTTTGGAGTTCAAAGAAGCAGCCCTTATATTCAATGCCAACAAATGATCAATTTGATCTTTTATTAGAGCTAAAAGCGGGGAGAATACTATCGTCACTTTTTTCTCGTACAAAACCGCCGGTAACTGATAACACAACGATTTTCCCGACCCTGTAGGCATCGATACGTACACGTCGTTTTTTCCTGCAAATAAATACGATTTAATTTTTATTGAGGTAACGGTTATATTCGCTTACTTTGACATATTTCTATGACGGCCTTCTTCTGCAACTTGGATTTGAACTTTTCGAAGTTAAAGTGCTTCTTTAAAGCGTCCAAAATCACTTGTGTGTCCATTTTTTGTTTGAATTTTGTTGTTTACCACATTTTTTGACGTTTAACACAGCTGATCGTTGACATTTCCCGATGCTTTCTGACATTTGACAGCGTTGTTCCAAGGAGTACGTGATTGTGGCGTCTTTCTGGGTAATATTTATAAAAGTTTCTTTTCGTTTAGAATTTTTTGTTTTTGTTTATTATAAATTTAACAAATAAATGATGAAAACAAAGTAAAATTAAGGAATTAACAGGAGTATCAACTTTAAATATTAAAAATACCAAAGTATATTGATAGGCAGTACCAACATAATCAAATGTGTCATATTCGTAATAAAAAAGAAGAAACTTTGTGTCAGAAAATACATCTGTCAACCATGTTATCTACAAGTCGCTGTAGATGCGTTGCACATTTGTTTCCATAACAACCGGTTTGTATGCTTTTTTAAAATCGGCTTAGAACAGCGTTGCCGAGTTCATTGAGGGAGCTAATGGTGCGTTTTTTTTTAAATCTGAGTTCATTTTTTTTAATAAAAAATTATTGCACTTGCATGTATTTATTTTATTTAAGTTTTAAAAGTATACAAAATGTGTTGAACGTTAAAACCTAAACCTATTAAAAATATTACCTATATTAAAGTACCAGTCCATTAATTGGCTTTTTTGAATGACAATTCAAACTTGGTGTAATCAAAATAATAAAAATTGTCACGGAGTTGACAAGGGATTTTCACATTCCCTTTTATTACAAATTGTTTGGTTTGTTCTTTTAAACAAGTTGATTTAAATATCAATGGCCTTTCATTTTCATTTCTTGAAAAAATTATTTCATAAGTATACAAACTGGGGTTTTCTTTAGAGCAAATTAATTCAACAGCCCAATATATATATGAACCTTCACGGTAATGCGATATTCTAAATACTTTTGAATCAAATATCTTATACACAAGGGCAGGGCCTCTATAATACCCATTAGCGTCACAAAAATGATTTAACTTATTCCATAATATTGAAGTGGAATCCTTATGATTGTCTTCAACATGTTTTGAAATAACATTTGGTTGTAGAAATAGTGAGCATAATGGGCATTTGTATTTGGAAAACCCACACAATTCTTCATGTTTTATCATTTCACTTTCAATCCCAATTTCTTTGCATCCAAAAAGATAAAATTTACAACCTATTAATGATTGCTCCCCCATAAATTTTGTAGTATCTTCTTTAATGGCAATTTTGTCAGATCCAGATTTATTACTATTCAACAAACACACTTCTTCGTGTTTCTTGATTTCACCTTCAACCGCAATTTCTTTGCAGCCGGATTTTTTAAACTTGCAGGGATACTTTATGTTAGCTGTGAAATTTTCCATAAAGAAGTTTCTCCCATTGGTCCATTCTCCCTTACATGTGGGACAAGCATTTACTTCTCCACGACATATGATGCAAATGCTATGTCCACTGTTGCACAGATATATTGGAGGTCTCATCGTGCTCATACATACAGGGCATTCCAATAATTTCAGCATATTTTCATCAATTCCCATAGGATTTAAATTAAATTCGTTTGAAATCATATTGTTTTTGTCCGCAAGATTTTTTAAAGAATCAATGTCTACCACAGTCGCGTTGGGGTTTTCATTCAGGTTTTGTTCGTTATAAATACTGTTCAGTTTGGTAAGAGTACCTACGGTTTTTATCACCGAATGTTTTGGTTTCTGAATGCTTCTGTGCACCACTGAATATTCCACATTTTCTTCGGATTTTTCAACCGGATTTAAAGCGTAATAAAATTTATTATCGACGACCGAAGTCTTCAAAAGGCAGTTCTGGTAATCATTAGATAATATCTTCACATTAAAGGGTTCAGACAAGGTGGTTTCAACTTTAAAAATATTATTTTCACTTTTAATAACTTGATCTTCATGTGTTTTTAATAAATGTCCGCTAACTTCAAAATTGGTTCCACTCCAATCGCAACCTTTAACATTTTTCATTGGACACTGTTTAATTTTGTAGTCACAACCACCAATGTGCTTGGAATAATTTTTATATGCCACCCTTTTATTGCAGCCTTTGAATTGAAACTTGCATGGCAAAATCAATTTGGCTAAAATGAAGATGAGGGCCGTGTTTAATTCCGCCTTCGATTTCATTTCCTCCCCACACTTTTCTTTAAAACAGTTTGCACACACATTTCCTTTACCTTTGACCAGGAAAATATCAGACAAGCAAAGTTCATCGCAAATCTTGCAGTGGAATATTTTTTCTTTTAAAAGATCGTCGGTAAACTGATCCATCGTTTCGTTTGCCATCTCACCTAAAAATAGAATATTATTAACAATATTTTTAAACTTTCAGGACAAATAAATAAATATATTTTCGAAAACATTAAAATACGGTAAATAAAAAATTTAAGGAGATTCCTTCATAATTTAAAGCTATGTCTTTCAATATTTATAAAGGTCATGTTCTTGTGATTCCCCCAAGCTTAACCACACCTTCAACAAGTAGGTTTTCGAATGTCAAACAATACATTTATACATACTTGTATACTGTTTTATACGTGTTTTTCGTCTAACGCTGCATAATGCAGAACAAGCTTAGAAAAAAACAAAAAAACTTACCTGAGTAACTAAATACTTAAAGCAAATCAAAATCCAGGAATATTTTCTTATAAAAACAACTGCAGCAGCGAGACACAATCTACCATAGATAACAAATGCAATCTACAAGTGGTTTATTCTTTGGTGAAATTATACCTACTCATATAAGGCTGAATATACACTACGATTCTTCGCTGTATTTTATTTTCATGAAAAACGTAAATCATTGGGCTTAATAAACGCAAACATATTGCATTGTTTAATTTGTGTAAAAAAATTCAATTAAAATTAAAGAAACATACGTAGAAGTTTGGAAATTTGATAGTCAAGTACATAACGTAGTGTGATTTGACCTTAATGATATTGTTTACAATAGTTTTTAGGTAGTTTTTTTATTATTATTTGCCCTAAGTATTTAACTAGAAATTTAATTTCAAATCATATTTATTAAAGTATGTATTGTGTGAATGTAAAAAATAGCTTCTTAATAATAATAATAATACCTAGTTATTTATTGATTATCATAATTATAAAAATAACAACAATCAAAAGGCCATTGACCTAGGTCCTTCAGCCAAGGTTAATTAAAATATAAATGTAATGTATTTGCACATGTTAGAAACCAAAATTGATATTAGATACCTAGAGTGCAAAAAAACAAAAAAAAACATAGTATTGTGTATGTAAAGAATAAATTAGATATATATATATGTATATATGTATATGTATATGTGTTCATTCGTCAGCTAGAGCTTGCATTTCTTCAACCAGGGATCTTGTAGGATGTTTAATTCGGGTGGGAGCTCTCTCTAGGTCTCTTGGAATCAGTACTGGTGCCAGAAACTGGTAAGCGGCTTCTCTCTGGGCAAAGTTGGTGGATAGTTTTATTAATCTCGCAGAAATTGGGCTGATTTTAAATTTTTCATAAAGGGGCCGTCCATAAATGATGTCACACGTTTTTTTAATATTTTTGACCCCCCCTCCCCCTCTTGTCACAAAGTGTCACAAATTATGTAACCCCCCCCCTCCCCATTGGCGTCACGTCACACTGATTTAATTTTTATGTAAGGTCTACCCCACGAAATTTTTGCTTAAAATAAAATAAAATATTTTTATAATTTTGTGACATCACAACCTCCCAAACCCCCCCACCCCCGGCTGTCACAAACTGTCACATTTTCGACGACCCCCCCTCCCCCCTAAGTGTGTGACATCATTTATGGACGGCCCCAAAGGAGGGTGTTGGGAGGGTTGTGGAGTGGATTTCCTGGGTGCCTCATTTTGGTAATTTTTCTCATTGCAGAAGTCTCAGCCACATTCAGGATTTTTAAGGTAGATTTTCGGGAATTTAAGAACAGGGAGGGAGCATATTCAAGGATGGGACGGCAGATGGATTTATAAATTATTGATGCCATAATCTATAATAATTTTAAAGCATAGGCAACCCAGTATACAAATGTTTTTATATTATTTTTCTGTTTATTACTACCACAGCATTAGGTATAATTACGAATTTATTAAAAATTAACACATACCAGGCATTCGTTTCTATTTTGTGTTTTTTCAGGGCCATGGTTTTGGGAATGAAATTAGTCAACTTTTTCCCAACTAAGTTTGGTGTACGATATTTTACATTTATTGGGGTTTATTTGAACATATATCAGGGGCGTGCTGGCTATATCAGACCGGACCGGGAAATTCAGAAAAATCGGCCAACTACACACGAAAAATAGGGGGTGAACAAAACCAAGTTAAAAAATTTCAAACATTTATTAATAATTAATAACATAAAGTAAAGGGTGATATCCACTTTGAGCTTGGCAATTTAGATGGCCATGAAAATCAAAACGTCAAAGTATTTGTCATTATCAAAGTAATATTTGTGGTCTAGAAAGACATACAAATTTGATTATGCAGCAGTATACGGCTGAACAACGCGTTAAAATTATCCAAACTTACTATGAAAATGGGCGTTCAAATGTGCGTACTTTCCGTGCTTTGCGCGAATATTTTGGAATACAAAATCGACCTTCTAGGCAAGCAATTACGAATGTCGTGCAGAAATTTGAGCGAAATGGGTCAGTACTCAACATCAAAACTCCACAGCGTGTTCGTCCTGTCCGTTTAGAAGAAAATGTTGCCAACATTCGTGAAAGTGTTGCCCAAGAACCAAAAACTTCGATTCGTCGCCGATCACAGCAGTTAGGCCTTCGGTACACCTCAACGCAACGAATTTTGGCGAAGGATTTGAATCTTCATCCTTATAAGGTCCAAATAACCCAAGAATTAAAGCCCAGAGACCATCTCCAGCGACGTATGTTTTGTGAGTGGATGCTTCAACACGAAGTCGATTTTTCGAGAAAAATAATCTTCAGTGATGAGACTCATTTTAACCTCAATGGGTTTGTTAATAAACAA